GTCTAAAAAAAGGCGCTACTATTACCTTATCTCCGGAATATATCAAATGTTTCGAACACTGCAAAACTTTATTAATGAATGATCCTATCCTACAGTACCCCGATTTTACAAAAGATTTCATACTAACGACAGACGCATCAAATATCGCATTAGGAGCCGTTTTATCCCAAGGTTCAATAGGTAGCGATAGACCCATAGCATACGCATCCAGGACTCTAAATACTAGTGAACAAAATTATTCAACAATAGAGAAAGAGTTATTAGCCATAGTTTGGGCTACTAAGTATTTCAGGCCATACCTTTTGGGCGTAAGTTTCGAATTGTCACCGACCATAAGCCTTTGCAATGGCTTATGAATTTAAAGGAGCCAAATTCCCGTTTAACAAGGTGGAAACTGAAACTCGCAGAGTACAATTTTACTGTAATATATAAAAAGGGTAAGTGTAATACGAACGCGGACGCGCTATCGCGTATTGAATTACACAATGACGAAGCTATGTCCCTAATAGTTAATACGTCATGGGACCCGCGTCGTCATAGTACCTCATCGACACTTACAGCAGCCTCACAGAATAGCAAATCTTCCTCATCCACTCTGACAGCACCTGAAACACGCGAATTCCAATCACCACAAAGTTCGTCGCATACGGAAACCGCTCATACTAGCTCTGAAAATCCCATTCTTGAGATTCCTATTAGCGATGACCCTTTAAATAAATTCCGCAGACAGATATTAATTAATATAGTTAATCACTTACCTAGAGTGAAGCCCGTCATTAGTAAACCATTCGAAAAATTCTCTCTCATTTCAGTTCAAGTTCATGTAGACAACCTAGAACAAGGAACTATCGACCTCATTAAAAAAATATGTTGATCCAAATATCCGTACAGCAATTTTAGTCCAGCCAATAGATAGAATGCTTCATATTGTTCCTATTATTCAAAGAACTTTTAGAAGTTCCTCTATGAAAATATTACTCGTCAAACGGCAGACTGAGAACGTATCAGATTATCTAAACCAACAGGATACTATTAGGAAATATCACGAAGGTAAAACCAACCACCGTGGTATCAATGAGACATATAACTCTTTGTCACAACGTTATTTTTGGCCTAATATGAAATCAGATATAACAGAATATATAAATCGATGTTCAGTATGTAATTGTGCGAAATACGATCGCAACCCAATACAGCAACAGTTTAAAATTGTACCTCCGCCATCAAAACCCTTTGACATGCTACATGTAGATGTATTAACTATAGAACAAGAAAAATATTTAACTTTAATAGACGCATTTTCCAGATATGCACAGGCGTATCGTATAAGCGACTGTACAGCCCCTAATATCGTTAAATCATTGCTAACGTTCATCACCCATCACGGTTCACCGATGTCCTTGACTACTGACCAAGGAACCGAGTTTACGAATCAAGTTGTAACTGAATTTTTACGTCTTCACAAAATACACCATCATAAGATCGCTGCACATTACCCCAAATGAAAACGGCATGGTAGAACGTTTCCATAGTACTCTCTTAGAACATCTCCGAATATTAAAATTAAAACATAAAAATGAATCTGCCACCAATTTAGTACCTTACGCAATTTTAGCATATAATAGTTCCATACATAGTTTAACTAAATGTAGACCCTATGACTTAATCACTGGACATTACGACCCAAGAGACCCCACTGATTTAAATTTATCCGAACGTTTATTACAACAATATATGCAAAACCATCATAGTAAAATGGATACAGTATATCGACTTATACATGACTCATCGTTCGCCGAACGCGAAGCGATTATGACGCAACGAAATACTCACAGAGAACCCGAAGTACAGTATGAACCCGACCAAGAGATATATGTACGAAATCCGATGGCAGCTAGACAAAAGCTAGCCACGCGCTATACACAAGATAAAGTCATAGCTAACTTACCTATACATATATATACTTCACGCAGACGCGGACCGGTAGCAAAATCTAGATTAAAACGACAAAAGACACATAAAGATTCTACTTTGTTACAGGTACCTAATCCTGACTCTGACAACCCTAGCCCAAGCGCAAGAAATTCGACTTGACAGCCTTGACAATGGACCTGGCTTATTTCCCTTTAAATTAGGAGATACTAAAATCATTTCTCACCATCATGTTTTCCTGAAAGACATTAACATAGACCTAATAGAACAACAAGTACTTGACTTGCAGACAAAATTGACTGAAACTATTCATAGACTACCGAACGGTTACTCATTACGTTTCAAGAGCCAAACCGACTATATTAATAATAAATTAAATAAAGTTATGTTACAGTTAAAATCATTCGAACCCGACTCCAGGGTTAAACGAGGCATCATTAATCCATTGGGTACTCTTATAAAGTTTATTTCTGGGAATCTCGATCATAATGACGCTCTGAGATATGAGACAGCTATTCATATTTTAAAATCGAATAATAAAGAATTAAGTTCTAGTTTTAATCAACATATTTCACTTTTTAAAGAATATAGCATACAACAAACTCAAGTATTGAATAATTTAACAGATAATCAAATAAAATTAAGTAAAGCCCTTAACTATATAATAAACATGTCTAACTCGGACAATCAAAGCGTAATTCGATACTCCCGCCTGTCGCTAATATTCAACATTATTAGCGATAACGTGCAGGAATTATATAATGAGATAATTAGAATAGAAAATATATTAGCTTTTAGTCGCACTATGTCTTTGCACCATTCTATATTAAATATTAATGATTTAAAAATAATGTTAAGAAAAATTAAAAAATCTGTATGGCACAGATCAAATTTTAGATTTGGAGATAAGAAACTTTTATGATATAATTAGCTTAGGTTCATATTATATAGACAGGAAAATAGTGGTTGTCCTTAGCTTTCCTATTACCTTACCTTCAATATTCCAACTTTATCGATTGTGTCCTGTACCTAATATACATTCTCAGGTAATTATCCCGTCCTATCCATATGTAGCAACTAATACTAAAGAATTTGTGTACATAGAGACAGAATGTCCGAAGATCAACAGGTGGCACATATGCGAGCAAAAACTACGTCATCAAATGAAGACCAAAAAGGACTGCATCTACGAAATTATTCATTCTCAAGAAATAGACAAATCATGTTCCTCAACGCCTATTACTATGTATAAGGAAGCTCTTACGGAACTAGACAGTCAGCATTATATAATATCATTCCCAAAACCTACAAAAGTTCAACTCGTCTGTTCCCACGAAAAATATGAAATACTTCACGGCAGCTATTTCGCAACAATACCTAAATCATGTATGTTAAAATCCTCAGAAATTACGGCCACCAACATCGACGACCGAGTTAAAGGAAGCGGTGTCGAAATCATTAATTTTCCTCGAATGGACAACATCATTCAACAAAATCAACCAGGTGTCCAACTTAATTCAATCGATCTCACGAAGTTACACAATATGCAAAATGGAATTACAATGAAAGCACCGGCGGGAACATATGATTCATCAAACATAATATACCACACAACGATTCCTTTGTACTTCGCTATGACCACACTCCTGGGCGCAGCTGTACTTTTCTTCGTACTCCGATATCGCCGAAATACATCTTCGAAGCCGATTTCAAAAACGGATAATAAGAACATGTCTGCGCAAGAACTTCGAGCCGCAACTTTTGCTATAGACATCAATAGCAAATAGTTGCTCATCTTACGGGGGAGATGTTACATATTCATTGCACTCCCTTTGCCCCGCATACCCAATACAAGTCACCTCTTACGAAACTACGCTATATATAAGGAAAGGGACAAGAGAACCAATAGCTTTTTGATCGGATACCTCATATCGGACCGGTCAAGTCTCAAGTAGTTAAGTTTATTATATAATATATTTATCGTGCACCTAATATCGGGCCGATTAAATAATTGTATTTAGTTAAGTTTATTATTTGTAAAAGTAATTAATTAAAGTAATATTAATATATTTTGGTGTTTTTTGGAATCCACCGCTGGCCCTCACTTAATTAGCTTAATAATATTAAAATCAGCAAAAATATTATTAAATTTAAAGATCTAAGAATAAGTCACTGATTGCATTTCCGTAATCTATTTCCTTTTAAAGCGCGTTGTCTAGACACAAAACTAAAGACTATGTAACAAGGCATGTAGCGTTGTTGCGTTCCAGAGGGCATTACTTATTCCCTCGGTTTTTGTTTCCAATATCATATGTGCGTAGAATGGCTCTAAAAGTGACACATAACAAAGAATTTAATATGATCAAGAACCACATATCACACCATGGATTTGACGGATTTATTGCTCCTTTATGAATATGAATTAAAATATAGCCACGGCCGCGAAATATATTAGTTACCTTATTAACGTACGTAAAATTCGTTCCGGATACAAACAGAACTAAGGCAAAAGCGGAAAGGAATCTAAAACGACTTGTATGTGCTACGTACCCCAGATAGTAGTAATAAGAAAGTGTGAACCTCTGCTTAGTAACTAACTGAGTAAAACAATAAATAAATTATTATAGCAACAAGCAATTACTCTCGGGTAAATATTAGAATCACGTAACAGCCACGTCAGCTTAGTGTTTCCGTAATTGTATAAAGAAATTGAGATCAGTTTGTCGGTGTCGGAACGTGACGACCTTCGTGACGTCACCAGCGCAATTCGTCAACCCTCATCTTGTCCCCCCTTTGGGTTCAGCCAAATGGCCCACAGTCTCACAGAAAACCGGCGTTTGATGCAATAGATTCACCTTATTGTACCTACTCGAGATTTGTGCGGTGAATAAGATGCCCGGAGTCTAAAGTCGAAACTCTCTTACATGGAGTCTCGTACTGGGGTCGACTAAATCTTTTCCAATATAACCCAGACAGAAGTTTGCACGTTTTCCACTAAAAAGACACAAAGGGTTGTCCCTTTGTCGCTACACCTTTCATCAAAGACACTCTTCTTAGCAAGCGAAATAATGAGCGTTGAGATATCGAATTACGTTCAGTTTCGCGTCACTCTTACTCCTCCACGTGGAGGACTGTTCTCACCTCTGGGCGTGGTGAGCTCTCTGGTACCAGCTCCTTCCAATAGACTGTATTCAACGAAGAGCGATTCGAATCGCCGACGACCTTGATAGCATAGAGGTGTGGGGTCTCTCTGCATCTCTCTATGACCCTTCAAGAAAACAGCGTACCAATTCTTAAAAGGTTGGCAACGCACTGGCGAGCCTTCTGGCAATGTGTCCAGCCTCCTGCCTTTTTGGCCCCATTATATATAAGAAAAAGTTAGTATCGTAAGAATAAGCATGAAAACTAGTGATGAGTGATTACAATAGAATACGAGCATTTCATTAGGTATCTACTAATTGTGGTGCAATACAATTAAATGAATCTCAAAATCTATTGTTAATTCCCTGACCGCGGTCACAAAGCTAAGCTAATCCCAAACATTATTCTCCTTGACTATGTGAATAAAGTTGGCAATTGTTAGGTACATTAAAATTGACTCACTAGTCCTTTTTTGTTCACCACTACTTAATATAATTTTTTAGACATAATAAACATACAAGCAAACAATTCTTTACTACCGTACAAGTCAAGACCTGATCCGTAACCGCAGCGAAACAAACAATGATATTCATTTAAAAAACATGTAGTTTTTTTAACATATTTAGCAACACTATTTTGCCATCCACACTCTAAACACACCATCTAAATCTAAATCCAACCCTGAATTTGACTTAAGGAATTTAATTTTAAAATAAATATTTTTTATGTCATATGTTCATCTTTTTTATTTCTGCTAAATAATGACTCTATCGTACGAATGGCCTAAGCATTAGCCAGCTAATTTATCAATTGTAGTAACAAACGATACGGCTGAACATCTTTCAGGCAGTTAATTGAACGGCTGATTAAGCTAGTTGGCTGCGACATATAAATTATAATATATTATAATACCTTGTAGACCACAAGCCCATGAACAAAAAATACCTGTGAAATGACCCAACCTGAATTACGCTTAGAAGGCTGTTACTATATCTGAAAATAGCTCTGAGCACTATGCCGTCATTTCTGAGCGGTACATGTGAGTACGTGAGTGAATGGACTTTCTCATGTACAATGGGGGAATTTCGACTAATTATTAATGTACGGCTTTGTTATAAGTGTATAGATGATTACAAATAAATGTCGAAAAACCTAGTGCCGTACAAAAGTGATGGTGCCGGAAGTCGGTGCAAATTTTTAATTCGACGACAGTTGCAGGAGCAATATAGGTCATTTATTACTGTACGGCATTTGTGTCATTCCTTTTGGACACATATACAGATACTTTACCCGTAAACGCCGTACATATTTCCAGCGGAGCGGTCGAAAGCCAAGGGTAGGGAACCCTACCCCTACACCCATATACCCTAAGGTCATTGTAAAATGTACGACAACATGTTCAAAATATTATTTAACACGGACAATAATGTTTTATAATTATGCCGTCCAAATATTATAGTTAATATTTGTGTAATTAAATATTTATCGAAATTTCAGGATTTACCAAGTTCTTACTGCTGTAAGATCAGAGAATAATGTACGGCAACTTGTTTTTTTACATAATGTTACTAAATATTACCGTTGTACATTATAGCCGTTCATTATAAATGGTAACAAATAAAAATATTATGATAAAAAATATATGAAATTTCCGAAATTTAGATGACTTTTCAAATGCTCCTAGAGTAATATGGGGAGTAATATTTTCAAAGATTATTGTTATTTTATATGTAACAAATATAAATAAACAAAAAAAACCAGATGCCGTACATTTTACTCCAGATTATTCTTTACAGCTGATAAAAACTTCTACGACGTTTGAGGTGTCCCTTAAGGTCATTAATAACTGTACATATCTGAGTATACTACCATAAGGCTGTAAAGTATATTTACAGCCTTATCGTACCAGCAGAGAGAGGTAAAGGAAAAATATTTTTAACAAAAATATATATAATACAGGGCGTCCCAAAGTTATGAGACATGAAGGGAAAGTACCTTAAATTTCGCAGATAGGGTATTTTACTAAAAGAAGACTTTATGTTATTTATAAAAGTTAGTAATTCTGCATTCAAAGATTTTTTTAAAACTACTTGCCTCGTCTGGAAATCGAGCCGGCTTAAATTAAAAAAAAAACACCCCTACTTTTATGATGCCAATCGAAAGAATGGCCAAAACCTAATAACTTTTCTAAAGTAACAGACTCGTAGGGGATTTTTTTAGGCCGAATACGATAGATAATGTTTTTAATTTGATTAAAAAGATATATTCACGCTGTTCCTTTCTTTTAAAATACTGTGTTACTTAAGAAGAGTTATTAGTTTTTGGCCATTCTTTCGATTGGCATCATAAAAGTAGGGTGTTTTTTTTACATTTAAGTCAGTTCGATTCCCAGACGAGGCAAGTAATTTTTAAAAAAATCTTTGAATGCAGAATTAATAACTTTTAAAAATAACATAAAGTCTTCTTTTAGTAAAATACCCTATCTACGATATTTAAGGTACTTTCCCTTCATTTCCCATAACTTTGGGACGCCCTGTATTGGTAGGCGGTGGTAGCGGACTATCGAAAGTGTACGGCATTTATCTTTTATTGAAGATTGTCTAAAGTATTAATAACCTGTGTTATTGCCGTACAGATAAAAGTCACCGGAAAATGACTCTTTTCTGAGAAAAGTAATTTGCCCCATACACCTATGTGTTCCACAAAAAATGTACGGCATGCTGGAAAATGTTATCTATTTGTGAAGTACTCTCAAGATCATTTAATTTTATGTTGATTCATATCATCATCACCTATATGCTAATCAGACATATGTTGCGACCCTTGGCTTTCGACCGCTCCGTTGGGAATATGTACGGCGTTTACGGGTAAAGTATCTGTATATGTGTCCAAAAGGAATGACACAAATGCCGTACAGTAATAAATGACCTATATTGCTCCTGCAACTGTCGTCGAATTAAAAATTTGCACCGACTTCCGGCACCATCACTTTTGTACGGCACTAGGTTTTTCGACATTTATTTTTAATCATCTATACACTTATAACAAAGCCGTACATTAATAATTAGTCGAAATTCCCCCATTGTACATGAGAAAGTCCATTCACTCACGTACTCACATGTACCGCTCAGAAATGACGGCATAGTGCTCAGAGCTATTTTCAGATATAGTAACAGCCTTCTAAGCGTAATTCACGTTGGGTCATTTCACAGGTATTTTTTGTTCATGGGCTTGTGGTCTATTGAGTTTATATCACAAATACAAAAAATATCATGCCGGTATAAACATAATTTTTCTTTCTAAGGTGTCCTCTAAAAGTTAGTTGGCATTATGTTTTTTTACTTTTTAACTTCTGTTTTTAATGTTACTTAAAGCCCAGTAGTTAAGAACAAAGTGAGCAAGCGCGAGGAAAAAGACCTGGAAAAAGGGCAAGGTGATCATATTATCGCAGCCCGGGAGTCCTTCCCGATATATCCGAATCTACGAGTCGAAACTGTTCGAGTGGCTGTTGCTGCAGAGAATCCAATCATACCTGTAGCCAAGGCCCGAACAGTTTGGTTTCCGCGGCGAACACAGCACCACGCTGCAGCTGATGAAAGTGCTCTTAACTGCAGCCTTGGCCTCAACAAAAAGGAGGGCGAAGGCCTTTGACCGTGCCTGGCACGGGTTTACGGTTTTACAGTGCAAAATTTCCTTCAGAAATCCGTTTCTTTTTTATTTTCACGTGAATGTTTTAGACGCGTTTCCGCAGCAAAACTCGCTTGGAGGTGTTCCAATGAAGGTCCCCCGAGACTCCTACATAATTAGTATCATCAAAAAAGTGCGGTGACATTTAAAACTGTTACCCCTGGCACGACGGCTGAAGTCGCGCTGAAGATCCTCGAATCTCCACTGACTCCACAACAATCGAACCCTGTCTCTATCTCCTCCGTCCTTCCTGTCGTAAGACGACAATATTCCCATTGTTCATTTTCAGTTACCCGCCTCTTACTTTCTACCTTCCTTACGCATGGAGCGTACGGCGTAATCCTACGCGTACCTGCGCGGTGCGCCATTATTTAGGTGCTGGCCTTGTTACTAGTAGTCACTATTCTCTCCTTCATGTATATTGTCATATTCCTAGGTAATTAGAATTATAAATGAAAACAATTTTAAAAGAAATAGAATTTAATGTTAACTTACACATGAATGACAACAGAGTACAGATGTCAGTTGACAGTTCCCATATAACTGGTCAACCGTCAAGTTAGTATATACCAACTTAGAAAATAGGCTATTTTTATACTATCATTACTGATTGTATTACATAAATTAAAAAATATATATAATATTATAGAAAAGAAATCTTTATTTCTTTAAGAATAATTATTTATTTATAAAAGGGAAAAGATGGTTGGCGTATAGCAATGACAACGCAGTATAAAAGATTTACGAGGTTAATAGCCAAGTGGCCAGTGGACAGCAATAAAGGTGATAGGTTAGTATTACTTTCCTTTAAGAGATCTTATTAGAAAAGAATAGAGCGAATATTTTATATATAACTGTTATATGATCTGTTCTGTTTTTTGTAGAGAGTGGAAAAGAGACATTCTAGTACGATGGAGTAAAAAATTAGTTTGATACAAAATATGTCTTAAAAAATATTAAGACATATTTTGATAAGCATAATTTAATTTGTTTTTTATTTATTTCTGTGTTTAGAGCAACCAATGTGAAATATGTTTCGATTATTGGGTACTCAACTATTGTTTTTGACAATATTATCCCTACTGAAAAATAGACTACTCCATCAGTACCTATTTTGAAATAAAAGTTTTGTGTGTTGTCATTTTTAAATTTAATTTAATACATATTGAAATCTTGTATTTCCCTAACTAACTGGTACTACTTAGTTAAGATTACATTATTTCTTTATTGTTTAGGGACCTTGGTAAATTGATTCGGGATACAGTTAAGAGAGCCTTCGAATTGTCCAATTCACAGGATCTTAACTCAGAGTTTTGCAATCAGCAGTACAATTCATTGAATAAATTAGCTGACAACTACTACAAAAAGAAATACAAGAGAATAAGACAAAGTTCTGCAACAGGTCTAAATACTGAAGAGTGCAATATAATTCTTTCTAATGAAGTGTTAGATTATTTAAAAGAGGAAAATAAAAGTTTCTTTCATAAGATCTTTAAAAAGGATTTAAAATGATTTTCAAACTTATATTTCAACAGTGGGGTATCCACAGTCGTCGATTCTCAACAGAAGTCAAGAAATTTAAAGACCACACTCCTGTTATGCTAGATGAAGTTCTAAATTACCTTCAACCTGGTAATAATGAAATTTTTATTGACATGACATTTGGGGCTGGTGGGCATTCAAAAAAAATTCTGAAATCATCTAATTGTAAATTAATAACATTAGACAGAGATCCTAATGCTTATGAAAAGGCTGTTAAATTAGCTGAAAAGTTCCCAAATAGAGTGACACCCCTTTTAGGGAGATTCAGTGAATTACCAAGTTTGTTAGAAAAAAAAGGAATTAAACAGTCAACAGTAGATGGAATACTATTTGATTTTGGTTGTTCATCTATGCAATTAGATAATGGAGAAAGAGGATTTTCCATAAGTAAAAATGGCCTTTTAGATATGAGAATGGATGCTGGTAGAGATCCTAATCAAATCACAGCACGAGAAGTGTTAGCCACGGCCAATGAAAATGAACTATACAAAATTTTTAAGGTTTATGGTGAAGAAAAAAACGCAGCCAAAATTGCACAAACAATTATTCAAGCAAGATATATGATAAAAAACATTGATACCACTCAAGAGTTAGTAGATGTAGTTGATTCTTGTTGCCCTAACGAATATCGTTTAGATAAGCTTCAGCGGCCACAATCAAATGCCACAAAAGTTTTTCAAGCTCTTCGAATATTTGTAAACAATGAACTTAATGAATTGAATTATGGCATGGTCTTAGCTAAATACTATTTAAAACTCAATGGTAGATTAATTACAATATGTTTTCATTCTCTTGAAGATACTATTGTCAAACGTCATATAGCAGGCAATATTGTAAATGAAACAGCCAACCCTATTCCTTTAAGATACCTAAACCCTTTGTTAGTACAAGATCAAGATACAATTAATCATTTTTTGGATACCCCTTGGAAACAATTGAATAAGCATGTTGATATCCCAACTGAACAAGAAGTCTTACGAAATCCTAGAAGTAGAAGTGCTAGGTTGCGAGCTGCAATAAAAATCAAGTAAAATAATAATTGTATTTCTGGTTAGTTGTAGTAAAGATGTATTCAAATCTTTTGTTTTGATATTTATAATTATGGTTGCAACATGGTAACTAATCCTGTAAGAATATTTCATAAGCATAATATACAAAAAAAACCACAAGTCATAAACCCCAACTGTGTCAGTGTAAAAATGTCCATGGCATGTGTTGTTCATGTTGCTATTCACCTATAAATAAATACATAGTATAATAATTTACCTAAATACATAATATAATAATAACCTATTAGAATCAATCAGAAAATGCTTGGACAATGCACATAGCACATTAAAATCTGTGCTTTTGCATTAGTAATTATTAGCATAACAGAGTTGATTCATGGCAATGACAAAATAAATAAGAATACAATTGTTACTTTTAGCTCATATATTTGATTATAATATTTTGTTGATTTGATTCTTACAAGTAATTTAAAAAATTACCTGTTACCACTAAGGATGCAGCAGTTTGATTTTTGATATTTATATAACTACTACAAAACAGGAAAATGCTTGCTTATTATTTATTAATATTCAATGCTTTTGTATTAAATATAAAATTTGTTTAATTGTGAACATGATATCACTTAAATTAATGACAAATATAAACAATTTAAATGCATTGAATATAATTCAAAATTAAAATAAATTAGACCTGGTTTTTTTAAACATAACACTTACAAATTTCCTTCAAAAATTTGTTTACTACTTATCTGATGGAATGTTGTTAAAATATATTCAACACTTACAAATATCAATTGCTTGAGGCAGTGAGAATTTCGGCTATGTATTTACAAACTAAATTATTTTTCCAACCATTAGGAAAAAATCAATTTATAAGAAAACAAATACTTAGTATCAATTATTATCTTTCAATAAAAGCATCGATTTTCAAGCATTTTGTTACTCCTATGCTAAATAATAAACTCCATTTTTACACATATTTACACAAATAGAATGATAAGGCAACTACAACTATTACTAATCATAATCTTTTATATTATAGGATTTAGGATAAATTGTCATATCTTGATTGACAGATGTATTAAACATTGTTAAATCCATAACTATATAATGTTATCTTTCTTCACTTTACAAATTTATACTAAAATATATTGTTAAAAAAACCAAAGGCCCATTTTTTGGAGAAACATAAGAGTGCCTACTAAAATGTTTATGTAAGGCTAATCCTCCAGATGGCACCTAAGCTAGTAAAAAATAATAAACTTTATGGTTTTCAAAAAATCTTCACATGCACTTTAATTATCTACTTATGTAATAATTTTTCTCTGAATTAAACATATGAGCAATGTATGTTATATTTTGAGAATATTACCGTTTCTTTAAATAACATATGATATATAAGATTAGGCTGCATTAGTATCATATACTTAGTTAAGTTTTAAATATTTTTTCAATGTTATATTCAATATTTTAGTATATTCTAATTGTATGACATGTAGATTTATAACACTAAGTAAATCATAACTTCAAATTCATTTCTATCAAGTCATTTGTACTCCAATTTAGCCTCACGGCACTAATCCTGTTATGTTCTGTTAACAGAGGACAAGACGTTTGCCTTAGCTCGGTCAGTTGCTGCTGCCGCTGCTTCACGCATTTCTTTAAGTGTATGGGTCACTGTGTGTTGTGGTACTTGACGCGGAAACATATTGCTAAGTACATAGTTGAAACCATTCACCTGGAAAAACAAAAAAAATATCCTCACTAAAAGATACAACTAAGAGATACTGACTTGGACCTTTAAACCTTACTTATTAATACCTGAAGCATGCGAATTGACCTGCATGTTTTATTGAATACATAAATTGATAAGCTCTTCCCTACCTTCTTTTTCTAAACTAAGGGTGTCTTATTTTTGCTATAAAAATTCTACCGCCTTATTCATACACAATACATCAGCTTTATTGTACCGTTTTAACGAAGGTGTCAAGCTGCAATTCAATCAGTTAACTGCACTATTGTCATAATGTAATACCATTGATATAATTTATCCTCAGTTATTGAGGTAGTTTTGATCATACACAGTATCCAGCAGTGTAAATACAATTTGATAGAAAGAGATAAAACTATAATTAAATGAGTGCAATTAGACTGATTTTACTTTCGAAACATGATTTTGAACCGGTTTCTCACTAACAAAAGAAGCTAATAAATATTCAGCATAACATTTTTCCGAATAAAATTCTATCAACAACTTACCATGTGTGACGCATTCTTGCGGAAACGGTCAACTCCAAATGCTCGTATAGCACGAGAGAACCCAAATACTTGTGAGTCAACCCATGCAGACCTAAGTGCCACTGTTTGAGAAGCACCTGATGGCCTGTATTCCACCCTTTCAACCACACTCTAGAGAAAGAACATATAGTGTCTGTATCCAATTTAATTTTAAAGTAATTAAAAATTAACATGTAAGGTCACTTCAGAGTTTTGTATTATATATTATACTGACCATAACTTTGGTATAGCCTAGATTTCTGGTGTATGTGATGAGAACTTTCTTTTCGGGATCTACAATACTCTCCTCAATAATTTTCACAGATTTTGCATTAAAAAATCTGAAAAGTAAATATTTTTATTAGTCACCTTTCAAAAAGTGAAAAATCAAATATAAAGCTGAGATATTAATGATGTAAATTTACGGTTTTGTTTAACAAATCAATATTTCAAATAATACACTTCTAGGATAAAAAAGAGTTAACTGTAGTTAGTGTTATATGCAGATTGAACTTTGTATTATTACTAACTACTCTCAACTTTAAGGATAGTTTACTTAAAATGAAATATTCTAATTCATATATTGAAAAATGTGTATATTAAATTTGTTACTTTATATTTGTTGTAATGCCAACTTATCACTTAGTATAAAAATCTAAGAATAACATTACATGACTTATGATACAATAAACTTACATGTAAGAATTTGAATGAGTTACTCAATCCAACAATTAATTACTATAAGAAAATTTTTTTATCACATAAATTCTCTATCTTACCTTTCTCCCCATTTTGGCACTCTATTAGTTTTGGTTAATAATCTTTTTGTGTACAGACATCCATCCTTAACATATCTACTCCAAGTATCTTCAGATAGAACATGTGAGCTGAAAAGTACATATATTCATAGTAACCATTATTTTGATTAATCATTAAACATATTACAGTTTGAAACCATAAATATTAAAATACCTTTGTGGATTAGGATATCTCCTCCAATATCCTAGTGCAACTTGATCCCAACTAAAGTTGAAAACAGTTGTGTTTTCAAAATATCTCGCCATTATAAAACTTACCAAAATGGAGAATTAAAACAAATGAATGACCTCACTGCATCATGATTAACAAAGAACCTGTTAACAGATATCAAATATTTCTGAATGTATCATTTACGTATGTAATGTATGTAATACATATAAAAGGAAGAATGTCAAATTAAATAATGATTACCACATACAAATTTATAGATGGGCTCATTTCCAGAATCTTACTACAAAAATAAAGTAACTTTGAATCATGAATGTAAACTAGAAACCTTTAAACAGGCATGTTGTCTGCATTGGTTATACAACATGTTTATAAGATTTAAATACTTATAACGAAACATTGTTATGTAATAAACAATATAGTTAAACTATAATTGTAACAAACACATGTATGAAAAATAAGTAAGAATTACCTGGACTTTTATTTCGTATCCGGAAAAATACAAGAACTTTTTTTCTAGTTTAATGCCTGTGGATGATAATTTCTAGTAAGACGTATTTGATTAGAATAACAATGTACTTGTAATATTAATCCATAGTTATTGTGTCTCAAATTTCTGATATTCTAATCAGATAAAAATATTATTTAGTAATCAATATTGAATATTATCGATAATTTTTTTTGTCTGAAAGTTGATATCAAAGATAATACACTAATGTCAAAGACTACAGTCTACAACAGACAGTGTTGCCAACTCCTACAGAATTTTTCGTCTAGAACCAACATCAAATATCGATTAAAACACCCTAAGTTTTTGTTGTAGTATCGGTTTCAAATATGCATTAAAATCATATAGTAGTATGAAATAGCTGCTATTTCTATCTTGGAGTCTTATCGTTTTTTTAATATTATTTTGTATGTTTAGGTTGTTGCTTGGGATCGAGGCTCAGTAAAAATTATAGAAACGTACATTTTTCTTTAAAAAAAAAATCTTTAAACCCCCTCGAGGTGCTTTATTCCCCCTAAATTTGGGGGGAAAACTCCCAAGTTGGCATTACTGCCAACAGAGTTTACTAATAACTAATCAATATAGTCAATTAATCTATATTATTAATTGTAATACTTTTACATTTGTTATTTTTTTAATACAAATAGCTACCCTTGACTAAATTTGTGTAAAACTAAAATATCCCTCGCTTGCCTTTCAATCCCAAGTTCGGGAGTCACTATACTCACAAAGTGTATATTTTGTCTAAGGCTCAATCTTCAAAAACATCGGATTTATAGTCCTATGACCTATTTTAATTCCTTCTTATCGAGACTCGTCATAGCCCTCGAGATCATGAAGTTTGTATTGCCAGTAACCATAGATATAGCTATTATATATTATGAGACACATGTATTCTTCCCATTTTATCAATTTCCTTCTCTGTCTTACAGAAAAAAAATCAATATTTATGGTGATGTATTCCGATCTTTCCTTCGATGTTTTAAAGTTAAAATTGATGCTATATACTGTCCATACTGGTGCACACACACACAATAGCACATTTCTCAAGTACATAATAATATTTTAACAGCAAGTATGTATTTATTCAATGTCTACTGGTAATAGACACTTTTTTTTGTTTGGTCTATATTCTCGTGATGTAATACTTTCGTACACATCCCGAGAGCCAGCCCGAAAAACTTGTTAAAGGTAGCATAGAGTATTTTAATTCTTAAATCGTCTCCAAAGAGTTTATGTTATAAATTTTAGTGAGTCATATCCTATCAAAGACTACAATGTAAATTGACTTTTTAAATTTTTCACTCAGTTGTAGGATCACTATAGGCTTTTGGAGTAATGAATTTTTACAAGGATTATTTACAAAAAATAAGAAGATGGACTCTCGAAAGCGTTTATCTTATATTACATGAAGACATAGTACCAAAACTAAAGCATTATATAAAACTTATTTCTTGTGCTGAATTTAAAGATGGGTCTTACCATACATATTACGGAGATTTGAAAAAAATTGTTAATAGTTATTCTTTCCATTGGATCGATGTTATGGACGAGTCTATCAGAGTAGCAGATAAACTCTATTATAATATTGATAAAGAAAAGCTTTTGCATATAATGGAACATACACTTCACTTACACCAAGCGAAGCAAGTCGATTTCGGTAGAAACTTTCTACCAATCGAATCAGCTATAGAAAAACAAACATATGAAGAAATAGAACGCATGTATAATATTGCTATGGATAAATTATTACAGTTAAGAGAACAGCTGCAATCCTTCGATACGCAAGAAAGAGTTGAAAAATTTGTCAAGGAGCACTTCTCACTATCGCTAAAAAATAAAAATAGCATTTTTGCCTTTACATATGAATATATTGCATTAGCACTGGCTAGAAACGTTAGTACTGTGATTTAGAATAGTTTAGTCACGGTAAATATGTATTTACTTCTTAATTATCGTGCCCTTACATTATCTACAATACCTAGTACCTATTAGACTATTCTTACCGGCTTGACCGACCAATTGCACTTGTCGATGTTGGTGTTCACTCATGATAGTATGAGTGCAATTGGTTGTTGTCGATGTTGGTGTGACTCATACAATTTACGGCATGTCGTAGGTCGACTCTATTATACGATTCACAGTCAAGACAACTAAGTATGACTCCCGTGTGTCAAATCTAATACGGGAGTCGTTTCTGAATCTTACCCTTAACTACCGAGTCATTTCCACGTTGCCTGGCAAAGTCACTGGTATAAATTAAAATTGCTTGTATTTTCAATAGGCGCGTAATGTAAAGCTTAGGTACTCGCTAGTTACACGCACAATGTATTGTATACGTTAAGGTATATATAGTAGTTAAAACTGTTAACGATCAAATTATGAAAATCCACGAGATAATTAACACTTATGGATATAAGTCTATACTTGTAATAGATTGAACGAATTCGAGTCAGCCTAGAAGAAATTAACAAACGTGTCAGCTCAAACCTATGCAATATTCAAGATGAATGCAATGCCAGCCTTACCAGTCTTCTTTATCAACTTTATGACAAGAATAAAGAACACATGACTATATTTAGGCAAGATATACGTTCATCAGTGGAAATCGCCGAGGTAACTTTAATAACGTTCCAAATCATTAACGCGAGTATTAAAAAAAACAATTGCGCTACACCTTTTTATGCCTGGGCCTCAGATTTCTGTTTTTAATAAGCAAGTACGTTATCAGCCTTCTGTGCCTGACACCCTGTCGAATGTCGACTTTTTGGGTCTAAGGCATAGCAGTTTCTTCACGATGTTTGCCTTCACTTTACGAGCGAGTGTTATAGGCGCACATAGACAGAAAGTCCTTTGGTCCACAGTCGGGGCTTAAACCTCCTCCCACGACCTCAGGCAATCGTACACTGATACCACTAAGCCAACACCGCTCTGCTCTGTGCGAGTATTACGAATTTAAAATAATGTACGTAACTAAAAGCATTATACATTTTACGGATAAACAACCCGCTGCAGGCAATAGAACACTTAAAACGGGCCGACCGTTACGGTACGTTGGTGTAAATTTAATTATTCTAGGAATAGTATTACTAAAATAAACTTAACTCATTTTTAACACCAGGAATATATTAGTAAATCTTTTGAAGGTTCAACGGAGTATAACAATTATAAAGGACAAAATTGAGGACTCTAAGCATGTTCCAACAGAGCGGCTAAAAGAGGAAGTGGCCTACTGGCGGGAAAAAGTTAAAGAATTTAATATTATCTACGACACAATAAAAAAGTTAAACGCAGAAAGAGATAATTTGACAGCTCCTGAAATTACCTACATAGAGTACGAAAAAACTTAAAATAAGTATTTGTAGTCTAATATCCAAACTTTATACTTTTTACCTTTTAAATGTTGATAATAAATACAGGGTTTTAGAGAATCCAGAGAAAACATATGAATCTTCAGAGAATTTAGAGCTGTGTGTGCGGCAGCGCTTGGAGCGACTTCACAAATTGAGGCTCAATGCTGCCAAATCGCTTTTCACATTCTTCAGCGTAAAAGGTCCGTGTTTGAAATATCAAATCACATGCTCTCCCAAAATACATTGTTGTTTACTATCATTGTAGGCCCGGACCGAAAATTCTATAGTGACCAAATCGGTACATATTACGTAGACGACTATGGACATAAAGTTTACTTCTATGATTACGGGCTGAACATGTTTCATGTTGACTGTAAAGGGGAGTTTGTTGACGTAAGGATGTATATTTCGTAATAAAAAACAATTTAATTTTTATAATTACGAACGCAATTAAACATTTGATAATTTTAGCTACAAACTAATGAAAACGATCTTTATTTTTACGACTCTTATGGCCGTTACACGATAAAAAATGGCGAAAATCTATACCAAGTTGCGCCATGTAGTAGTCTCTACAAGTTAGAGAATGATGTTAGAGTTAAAGTTACAAAGGACTGCGGTCACTCAGACCGACCTAACAAGGAGTGTAAAATGGAAGTAAAAGACCCGTTTGACTTTGAAATACTGCCGAAATCTAAAGCGGTTGATAAAAAAGGTGACATTAGTTTTATGATTATTTCACATAAACATTTATAAAACTGTTGGCTAGACTAATTTACTCGGATGTCTGCAGAGAAACTTGATACAGAAACTGTTAATTACCTATGGAACAATTTTGGTCACATTTTGCCCGACGCATTACATGATGTTGCAAAAGCACAGCCAAAGAATCCTATTCATTTCTTAGCCCATAAACTGCTTTACCACAAGTGAGTTTTAATTACCAATTACTGTACATTATCCTGTAACATATTTATTCTGGTTTGTCATCCCTATTTAGCATTTCGAACAGAAACAAAATTTTTTCGCTGGAAATCGTGTCAGGGCCTTATACGCGCACTGTGCTAAGTATTATTAGAAAATTTGTGTAAGTAAAAAAATAAACGTACCAAAAAATTTTATAATATCCATCACACCGATGGGTGCTGCTGAAGTGTCAGTTAGTTCCTTTTTAATAAATATTTTTTTGTTAAACAGGTATAGACGCACTATTACTGAGATTGAAAAGGAGAAACAAAAAGCTAATGAGTATCGTGAGCTGATATTCAGAAAACGTAAAGAGGTGACGTGATTTAATTATCTTAATACTTTTAGTCTAAATGCTCATTCAATTTTTTTTTAATTGTGTGATCAAATAGATCAATGCTTTAGGAGACAGTGTAATATTTTTGAAGTTATACTTCTTTTGGCGCGTTAGGGAAAAATTATGAGACTAAATTTTTACGATGCGCGCGCCCACCGTTCCAAAAAACCCGACACCCTGAAATTAGCTATAGTCAACATTTTAGTTTTTTCTATTGTTAGTGTCGTTTTTCTACAAACGTAGAATCCAATTTTTGAAAAGATTTTTATCTTGTTACACCAAAGAAGTATAACTTCTAACGCGTGTACGTAAGTACACACACGTTTTTTTTATATTTGGATACTATCTTGTCATCTTTAATTTTAAGATAACAGGCATTTTATTTGACTTGCCCTACTATCTTATCAATTCCAGTGTTAATTAAAAAATATCACATTTCAGAAAGCAAGAGAGCTTGCAAAGAACTGGAGAGAGAAGCAAGTGAAGCCTTCCAAACCCGAGGCGTCCGATGCTTCTGAGGAATGGTTTGCCTATGATACTTACGTCGCTCAACAGGAGTTTATTAAATCATTAGAAAATTATAGCAAATAAATGTTATTGTGTCAATCAATAAATTTTTTTCTTTGTCTTTCATACTACAATATTCAGACTTGACGAAAAATATCGTTTATGGAATCCTTATCTTTACTACGAAAAATGTATTTGTTTGATTGAAAGCGCTAATATCAATAATCACTGTGTTCACACTCACATACACACTCCGCTGGCTTTGCGACCCCAAGTGTCATTGCCTCGGAAATTGGAAAGTTCCAATACTTCCTGTCGTCTGCCACCTCCCGGCGACTGCTGGCTTTTAACTGCAGCAGGTCCCGCTCCATTCTCTTCGTTTTCTCTACTATTGTAAACGTTTACGGTGCAACCCAAATACCAAAATTTTCCGGTTCATGACTGGTATTATTATATTTTGAACAAGATTCCCCTTCACATATTTACATCAATTGATTTCAGTGTCTAAGAGATATCGGTTTGAAAAACTAAAGTATGGCCAAGTACCACTTTATTATTATGAGAACGGATCAGTAAAACCGCGAGAAACATATTTAATAAATGATTAAAATGATTGTAATGTAGTACGACCTCATATGGAACACTGCTCACATCTTTGGGCCGGTGCTCCCAATTACCAGCTTCTTTGACCAAATACAGCTAAGGGCCTGCCGATTTCTCCATCTCCAACGTATTACTGATCAGCTCGATTTTCTCCCCTCTACGCAGAAACATTGCGTCATGTTTATTCTACAAGGTATACTATGGAGTGTCCTGAAGAGTTCTTTGGGTTGATCTGCCCTCAACATCGTACGAGCCGTATGAATTCAAAGTTTCATCACCATCGCCTTACTGGCTAGAAGTCTTCTACGGTCCGCATCACAAGACTCTTTCTTTTGCGAACTAGCGAGCTGTGGTCTTCCTTGGGAGATACGACTTCTAGTCGTTTAAAGAAAGAGTATACTCCGCCCACAACGCACCCACTAAAATGTAGGCTCTTTTCGCCCCTATACTATATAAGCATTTCATCTATGTAAATAAAAAGCCACGCAAAGGTACGTACAGGTATTTATTTATTGTTCAAGCGTCTACAATATATAACGAGATACACGCATCGAAATTAAAATAGAAAACAACCAGACACACTACAGACTTTCGCATAGATAAAATAAAAGAAAAAATCTACCTGACATGTTTTATAATTAAACAAATAAACCTCAAAATTCTCAGTATCAAAGCTCACTGCCCAATACCCCGTGTTTCGCAGTCTGTCATCTTCATGCGCATTGCATGGACAGTGAACCTGCTAACGCTACTGATATTTATCATATCTCGGGACAAAACCAATTACTATTTAAAATGTATAACAATCCCATGACGTTGTACAGCCTAAACAATTCTTACTTCAAATGTGAACGAACATCCATTGTAAAGATGCCAATCGGAAAGTATTAAATTCCATTTTTTTTAAATATTCTAATAAAATTTGCGAAATAAGAATAGATAGCTGTACATTATACAATATACATTTTTCACTAATTCACATTTTAGAATCTAATATTCCGCTCGAGCAGGTACAAAAGTATATTTTTTATTTACACGCAAGAGGAAATATAACTATGGGAGTAATCTACAGGTTTTTAAAGGTTTAAAATCAACAATAGCTTTAGTGAAATTTTTAATTGAAAAATTTAGTCACATTCGATATGGTTGTATTAAGTGTTACCTCTAAGTACAAAAGCAATTTACACCAAAATAAGACAACATGACCAGAGATATTTAAGCAAAGATTATAAAAAAAATACTATAATTGTGTTCCAATTCTGAGTTTTACTAAGCTAAATTACAACTATACGAAACATTTGGATTTGACTATGTAGTTAGTTTATTTACAGATAAAAAGTTACATGTATCATCAATTCGCCTGCCTTTTAAAATACCATGCCGAAAAGTAAGTTTCTAAGTAAAACAGTAATTTAGTTAAGTTTATGTTATATTATGGTGGTTTAGACATTGTAATGTAGAAATACACAAGGACTGAAGTAATGATTTAGATGTTTAAAGAACTAAGTAAATCGCCTTAAACATACATAAATTAAAGTCATTTAATTGAAAAATGCAAGTGACATAAGTAAATTGATAGGTAACATAAAAGAATTTGACAACTTTTATATATGTAAACCGTTTTATTGATTTATAATTCATGCTTCTATTTTACATCTAATATTATGACAATTATGAAAGTCAAATTACTAACAAAAAACTACCTACGAAACGAAAACAAAAAAACACCAAATCCGAAAAAAAACTCGTGTGCTGTCATAAAATATCGAATATTATTTTGGGGGATTTCAACTTTGTGCAGCACAAATTAGTCAAGTAATTTCTTCCTTATATTGCCGTGGAGGGGTCGTGATTAAGAGCGCACACAAAATTGTCTATGGCCGACCACGGCATAGATAATAATTGATAAGAGTATTAAGACAACATACATATTAACGTACCATAGACAGCGCGATCGTTAAAGTTACAAAAACAAATTCTATCGACTTACCAATTAGCATTTCCAAAGTAACGATCGGTGAGCTGAGGTTACCAGAAGCAATCCCGCATTCATAAAAGGAGTCTAACTCTATGTACAGTAAGAAATGTTGCCAATATTCAAATTTGGAACGCATAAAATGGCATAGGCATAGTTAACCAATAATTAACACACAAATTTCAAATGCCATAAACTATATAATCTTGGCGGGTAAAGAAGACACTAGACCCTAAGAGCAACCACATACCTACATCTCAAAACATACATTTATTTTTTAGGTTTTAACTAATTAAAAGGATAAGAACTTTTATAATATAGTAGTTATAGTGTAAATAATTAATTGTATAAAATTTATATTTGAAAAGACTATAGAATTTGACCAGCAAATGTATATTTTTATAGATCGGGCTATGTAAATAAATGGTTGCTAATTCGGTGCCTAGTTTGAACCCAGGGACTCGGCGATCTCAGTCTGACAGTCGAATGTCTCCGAGCTGTCAGTGTGCTCCGGGTAGAACTCCCTGTAGATTTTGTCCAGTAATCCTTGCCTAAAAATAAAAATTATTATTTGATGAAATATAATAAAAACTTGGACCTGAATTAAAACAATATCATATAAATTTAAATTTCGTAAATTTCAAAAAATTATAGGGTCCTGAAATTTTGTAAGGCGATGTCAATGTAATGGAAGATGGTTGCTATAGCAGCTAGTCATGGGGTCTCTTGGTAGAATGCTTACGCGACCCCAAGTTACCCCAACAGTGACGTGATTGGTGGGAGGGGTTTAGTGGGTAGGGCTTTTAGAGCGAGTCCCACACTCTGTGGAAATGCATTCCCCTCAATAAAAAAAAATAAAGAAAGGGTCCTGAAAGTTAATTTATTAAATTGACGACTCATTGGTCTAGTAGTTAGTACCCCTGACTGCGAATCCATCAGTCCCGGGTTCGATCCCCGGCTGAGACAAACATCGATGGGATGAGTATTTGGTGTTGTGCTTAGGTCTTGGGTGTTTAAATATGTATTTATATGTCTATCTAGCTATAATATGTATGTATACCCGTTGCCTAGTACCCATAACACAAGCTTCACCAGCTTAGCATGGGGCTAGGTCAATTGGTGTGAATTGTCCAATCATATCATATAAATAGATATATTAGACATTAAATCTATTTTAATGGTTTTATTATTCATAATTCAACATACTTAGCAGCTAGGCCGCCTCCTGGGGGTAGGCCCGGGATGTTTTCCTCCACCAACTGTTTAAGAACTCGCGAGAAACGCGAGGAGGCGTCTTCGTCATCTGCACCGGCGTTGGCTTGAATAAACGCTGTAATATTACACAAACATGCTTAAATTTTGTTTTATATGGTAACTACAATTTCCAAATTGGTAACACCTCCAATTTGGCAATTGTATTAAGTTTATCAGTGAAATGCACTAAGAAACGCTTTATTTTGTATTAGGGAGCGTTCAAGTATTACGTTACGAATTTTGGGGGGGGGAGGGGGTCCTTTTGTAAAACGTTACGATACGGGGCGGGGATTGAATTACGCGTTATTTTTAATATTATTTTCGACTTTCCAGTAGTTTACACCACATAATGATAACTTTTAGGTATAAAGAGTCAATAGGTGGTCACGAAACGTTTTACTATACTTGGGTACAGTACTGTACTTGGGTACAGAAAAACGTTACAGCGCGTTACGTTGGGGGGGGGGGCAGGGGGGGGTGTCAATAATCTTCAAAAATTGCGTGACGTAATACTTGAACGCTCCCTTAATCATCTATCGCATCAATTAAAAACATCACTAAAATATGTGAAATAAAATAACATTAAAAGGTTTAGGTACGTAATAATATACACCAAGAAAAGGTTGGTCGCTAAATGTTGAAACTGAAATAACTTCTCAGAGTTAGTACCGTCTAAAAAAGGAAAAACGAACTACCCCAGACACGCTACGAGTGATACTGGTTCTCACTTACACGTACGTTCGTTACGTTTTGTCTATAATATTCTGGGTATATTTTTATCAATAAAATAAGGCGATATCCTTAAAGCTGACGTACTAAGGCTGCTAAAAAGTAAAAAAAAAATGTTCTAAAAAATCTAATATTTTAAATCAACTCTTTTTAAAAGTACACTCCCAATGCACACACGAATGAACCTTAAAATAAAATACGCCGCCGTTTGTCAGTGTTCAATCATTGTTCATCAGTATCACACAGTACATAGGAATATATTATATTATCGGATATAACGACATATTAGGTTTTTAACTTTTTAATGTCGTGCTGCATATAATTAAATTTTGTTTTATTTCTATGGTTTTCCTATAAATAATAAACTATTTCGAATATAATGTATTGTGCACACCAGACTATCCCTTTATCCGACTTCAAACCAGGTCTGTTATATTTACGTGTTCATTTCAGCAGCATTACGAGTAAGATTAAACATAACTTAAACCGTACAGAGTGAAGGTCAAATCTAAGTCTGTGGCTAAACATTGTTTCAAGGTGAAGAAAAACGTGTATTCGCAACTCACGTTTTCACGAGTCATTACAACTTTGAAGTCGGTATTGTGTGGTTCTTTAAATAATTTATTTTGTTTTTTTTTTCAGAACATTTCTAGAACACTTGTTATCTTAAAAAAGCATCATGCATAACATTCGTGCGCACATAATCTGCAATATATCGTTAAACGTGCAATCGATAAGCCTTTAGGTAATAAATGACATACGTCACAAATCAACTAGTTAGGTTGCATCGTGTTTTGACTACAGAACATCGGTGTACGTGAGAAGCACCACACGTTCATTGCTTTAACCCTCCGATGTTAATTCCCCGCCAATTTCAATTAATTTATAAAAGGGGGCAAGGACCAAAGCAATGAAACGCTCCGTTCATTTTCAAATATTTAATTGGATTAAAATTACATAAAATTTTCAATAGAGTATTAAAGTATACGAGAAGACAATACGAATCACATTTTTTATGAATACATTAGTTTGTACTTATCTCTAAATGTACCTGAGAGATCTCGCTATACTGATTTAATTAGATGAATAAAATGAGAAATTTTTAATATAGAAATAGTTAAAAAATTTATCGAATTTAAGTGATATAAACACTAAAAATTGGTTTTTGATATAGTGCTATACGAGAATATAGCAATATATATATTTATTTTATCTTATCTTCAAAATCTAAACAAAATATAACGTTTTAAAAATACAATAGATACTAATCAATAAAATAGATCTATGTATAAACATAACAGATAACAAAAATATAATTCGTTGGTATTTCTTATTGTATGTGGTAACATTACGTGAATATTGTAGATATTATAGAAAAATATCATTAATATCGAAACAAAAAAAAATAAACAACATAGAGCTTTTAATAAACATCAAAAATATATACTATATTCAATTAATTATCTGTAAATATGTTAATTCTAATGCTAGATGCATAATTTAAACCGGCCTGTATACGATTTATTATGATTTTTGCTAGGTGCAATTATTTAATAGCTGGCGTATATATCTGCAAAATGAACTAACATAAACCGAATGTGACAAACATAACACTTAACACAAAGGTGCAATAACACGCTCGAGCATAATTGAATCATTATAAAATATTTTAAGTAATAAGTGCGTCCCTAAATATTCTGAATAAATATCGAATGGAAACTTTTCAAACGCAAGGTTTCCACAATAAGCCAAGACATGCGATCAATTATTAACGCGAACACAATGGGAAATACAAAAGAAAATGATATATATAACTGCGTAATTAATAACTAGCTATAACCGTTAGAAAAAGCCCGGCAATATTTTCGTATCATTTTATAATCAGCGAATTCTGATTAAACCGAATCTTTATTTACGAATCACAATCGTCAATTTAGGAATCCGCCAAATGTCCTCTACGGAATGTTAGTTAAGCTAAAAAAAACCGGTAGGGATGTGTGTATGTCGTGGCCCCATCGTAGAAAAATGGTATTATCAGGCCATATCATGACAATGTCAATGAAAATCAGCATACATTGATGCTATCACATGATTTGGCACTTTTATTACGGCATGGATGAAACCTCAGAATAATCTTATTTAAGTATGAGATAATGGTAAATCGGCTCTGACGCGTAACTAAGTAGGTTATAAAGCATACAGCTATAAACAACTTAGTATTTTCTAATCGGATGTGGATGCAAATAAGATTGAATCGCTGGTATGAATCGATGCATTATGCCTAGTATTTTTCGAGATTGCACTATATATAATATGAGTTGGATTAACTAATGTTAACTAGGACAGAGAAAAAGCTACTCGAGATTAAATAATTAACAAGACTACGCTACGTATTTACGGAACACGTAGCTATATATTACGCCTACTTAAACTACAAGAAATTTTTAATTGCACCACCGTATATAAACTCTTGTTAACCGTAGATATATGGCACCAAATAAGGACTGCAGAATTGCATAATCCTTACACAAATAAAATTTATAATTATAGATTTATCTCCAAAATCACATTAGCGTTATCGAAATATCTTAGACAAAAATGGTCTTTAATAAAGTGAACACATTATTATTATATCCTTGAATTATTGTATACACAAGTGTAACATTTAGTATTGATATTTTTTTAACCATGTTATTTTAAGTATAAGGTTACCCTTATATACGCTTACCTAAATATTAAGGCATTTTTGACACACAGCACTTACTTGCCAGAAACAATTAGACTAAGAGGAGATAAATAGACGGTAAAATGGTGTTTCTAGGATATGTATTATGTAAAATTCGTTGATACTTATATTGACTTATTTATGTTCTAAAATGTACCCTATATCTATGTGTACTGTAAACAGTTCTCTATGTACTATTTAGTTCCACTGATTATGAAAAATAAATAGTCCTACAATATTTATGATAAATATTGCCTAAAATGCAATCAATGGTTCTTATATTTTGTACTACGATTTTCCCTACCATACATAATAAGTCTCTTAATGCAATAGTTTCAGAAAAGGGAGAAAACAGATTAAAGTGTAAGATATGAAAAATTAAGATAAGCTTTTCCTTTTTATAAATCTAATCTAATATATACTAAGGAAATGTCTAAAAGAAGTTCATTTGTATTCTTTTTAAATTTTACAGTTTTAGTAATGCTTTTTGTAAATATCAAATTGGGTCTTACTGGTTTACACTGGTAAGGAAGTATGCAAGAACTGAATACATAACTCTTGGTCATAACTCACTGTAAAGGGAGTTTTATGTTATAAGACTAATATTAGCTATTTTTCTATACTAATCCCTGCTTAATAAGTCTAAGTGTAGGTAAATGTAATACCAATCTGTTCAGCTTAAGGCTGTGGTCTCTCTATTCTAATAAATTCTAACAATAGGCTAATTTAGCTGCTATGTTAAGGCAGAAAAAAGTATAAGGTACAAATTGTCTACCTAATATAACATCTTAAAAAAAGTTTAGTTTACACCTTCATATACTTCATATACGTACTACTAACTACAACATGTTTGAATTTTTTTTAACAGTTATAAAGAGGCATCTATTAGCAACAAAAGAGATGTTGCTGCCACTTACAATGGCTGCTAAACAAACCCACCAACATCAGACGCAGAAGGATTCACTTTCAGGTGACTTTTTAGGAAAACGTTGATTTAACTCAGAAATCCTTTTCTATTTTGAAAAATTGTGTTAATTGACATAGCATAGACCACAGTCTGCCATCCAGATAAGAAATAATCATCTCAAAAACATATTTTCCTCTGAATGAAATAATATCACAAAATTACTTCTATATAATATATCCCTACTTTTTTATGGCACACCATATTTGCACTAATGAAAGACTGTAGTTTTATCATGCATTAGGATTACTAGCATTGTTATGTTCGTCAGTTTGTCCATCTGTACGTTTTTTTGGTGCTTGGCACGCATGCAATAGTGAGTGATAACAACCTGTGAGCCTTTGTCGAAGTGTTTCATCGAGTTCACGGTCAGCACGCTGAGCTTCAGGATCTGGCTTTGGTGCAGCAGGAAACACAACCAGCACAATGCTCATGTTATCTTTGCTCCCCTGAAATTTGACATGGGTCAATTAGAATATATTACAACTTTATTGTCACTATTATATAATATAGTCTACATACTCACAAATTCCATCAAACTTATGTTTAAAAGTTATAATGGAAATCTTTTGTTGTTTATAGGATGTGTAACACACTTTCTATTCATTGCATAATAAGTGGGATTCTCTTATTAAGCAAAGGTTATATTTCCTATATTAAAACTATCACCTAATCTCATCATGATGAAACAAGTCAAATATAAAACCATTGTTATATCATTCTAAATGGACTATACTAGCTTGCTATGTTTGATACATACCAAATAAAAGCTTAAAAGTAACAACTACTTTATTAACCAATTTTTCCATAATATCTATGAAAAAATTCATCTCATTTAAAACTTAGTCTCATGGGTGTTCATTATTTAAGCATGTTAATTACTCCAATATCACATAGAAGATATTAAATTTTCATTACAAGTATATAATTTATCAAATTTTATTGCAAGAAAATTGCATTTTGTTCTTATGCTACTGAAAAATCAATTGTTTACAAAAAATAGTTTAAGTAGAATGAAGAACAATAAATACATGAATTGGGGTATGTTTAACCTTCACTGGTATGTATGTTAGTGTAGCAAATGAATCCTTACATAAGCACATTAAGATTAATACTTTAATCAAATAAAATTGTTAATTGTGAACTTTAAAAACTCAATTCAACAAAAAAAAAACAGGAACACAATATTTTGCATTTTACATAGTTTATGTGAAACACATTATTTTTCTAAAAATGTAAAAGAAAATGAAAATGCTATGTTGAATATAAAACTACAAAGTGATCTGATTCTTGGAAAACAACCATGAAATATACTTACCACTGAGAAATAAATATCAGTGTGATGTATTTACCTTATAGAGACAGGTATCAATTACTTGATTGGTGATAGCAACAAGGTCATCTGTTAATTGTAGTAGTGAATGTACATATGCACAAAGGGCTTCATTACTCATCACATCCCATACTCCATCACATGCCAGCACCAAGAACTCGTCTTCAGACTCTAGTCGTTCATGACATGATACTTCAGGCTCAGGGGAGACAAGCTGCTCGCATGGTCCACGATCCAACACCTTCTTATATTCATAGTCGCCTAAAGCACGAGACACTGCTAGACTCCCATTGACTCGCTGTATCATTACTGTACCTCCCGCTTGAACAATTCGCGATTTTTCTGATGGTAACTCAGGTTTGTGGTCGCGTGTCGCAAATATGGGTGCCCCATTACGGGCTAAAACAGCTCGGGAATCTCCACAGTTTGCTATATAAATCTGTTTAGGCGATACAAACGCGCAGACTGCTGTCGACCCAGACTTCTCTACTCCATTTGACAGATCCGGTAATTCTCTCATTTTTTTATCGAGATCGAGAAACCCGGCGCGTATAGCCTCAGCTATATCGTCCCGTCTGAACTCCTCAGTTTGTAAGATACATTCTAAAAGATTGTCTGCACAATGCGCGGACACTCGGGCACCCGCGTGGCCATCGAAAACAGCGAAATACGACCAATCTGACAACGTTCCATTCAGTGTTAGTTGAGCGTGGTGAGCATCTTCCATCTCCACGCGCCAGCCCTGCATTGACGCCACGCCATAGCGCAGACCGTTACCTTCCCCGCTCTCATTGTATTTCTTAGTCTCAGGTTTGTTTAAAAAAGCCCCCATTCTGTTACCCTCCTTAATGATTCACTAACCGCACATACTTTCTGCACCATCAGGCACTTAAATTAACTTATCGAGCAATAGCGTAATAGGGTAAAAGAGGTAACACCGAACGCAAGATACTATGATCTAGTCTCACAGAAGAAACCTCACCAGACTGTCAAATGAGCGAAATTTTTTTATCTAAATAAAGCTGTTTGAATCGCTTCTACGTATTTGGATCACTGAATTTATTGCACAATACACAATATGTATTGTAAAAATGCAAAAATTGTAGAACTTAGAACTGGATGACAAATCGTATTCTTTACGAAATAGTTCGTATTTCGTAAAACGAAAATGTAACTCAATAGAATGAATAGCGGTAGCGGACATAAATAGCAATTGTCTATGGAAAAATTTCAATCGCATCGCCCACAGAGCATACTACTTTATTTATTTATTAAGGAAACTTATATGATTATATATTTTTATAAAATAACCGCAGCCCAATTAGACCAAACTATTGGATACTCGTGACTATTGAAGGTTTATTGTAGGGTGTAGATTGATATAGAAGAAAGAAAACAAATAGAAAGGCTTTTTTCTTATATCTGCGCACAAAACATGCTTTGGTCTGTACGTTTTTTTTAACTTCAAGACTAAAGAATTAGTACAAATGTTTAATTGATAACTGAATAAATAAAGTGATATAATACTGCTTTACCATTTGATTAACAATGCTTAGTACACTGACTAGATATACATTTTGCAAATTAATTATCATTTTATATAACCTATCAATAATACTAATACTAAATGTGATGAGACTCCGCGTTAAAGTCTTATAGATAAATCGTTGTAATTGAGACTTCAAATAATGTGTTTCCACTCAATAAGATTTTTTTTTCAAATTTATTTTTTGTGGAAATCAGAAAACTTTTGAAATAGCTATTACTGAAATACCGAATTAGCCTATTAATCTTATATAACTGAAAATGAAGCCAAACAATGATTAAAATATTATTAATCAACAGCAACAGGTTATCTGTGATAAAAACTGTTAAGGAAGCCAACCATTGCATAAAGTGATCAACTCTGAAAATGTGCAACGAGTAACGACCAATTACAGTAATTATACGTGCTTTAATACGAATTCTTATTTAAATTTTAACCGACTACAAAAACACCAAAGAATTGATGACGTCATCAAGTCATCGTCACTCAACAATTTTTGTTCAAAATTATAAGATAAGTCTGTGAGCTGTTGTGTGACGTGCAGTACAGACAATTGACATACTTTCTCCTTCTCAGACGTTACCGGTTACATTTAATATTTTTGGCCTAAAGGTAGACACCAGGCCATAAACCCCAAAAAAAAAAACATTTAATATTACTATAATAATTATAGTTAAATTTGACTTCATAATATTCATAGTTATATTTTTCCCGTACATTGTATTATTATCTATATATAATACAAAAATAAATGAAAATTGTGTAAAAACTATATATAAATATGTTATTACTATAATGGTTATTCAAATATTATATAAAGTAGAAATTGTATCGAGTTATGTGTAGAAAAAACAAAGGTTATATTTTTAATAAATTAATCTGATACTTATAAGATCATAAAGCATAAGATTTGTTTTACTGTCTACATCTTGTAAAAACAATGTATAGAAGGGCATTTTTAAATTTGTAAGTGTGTTATTACTTGCAATATACTGTTTATTATGGTTTTAAACTTAAATTTTTTTTATTATTAATGCTTTTAGGTTACCCTCAAAATTTTCTAAGGAGGGACTTTTGTACCTTCCTAATTCATATAAGTCTCCACAAATTGTACACAATGCACGAGCTTTATCCTTGTCTGTAGCAAATCAAAAAAAACGGAAAAGTCCTGAAGAAAGGGTAAAATATATTTTCGCACTTACATTTTATAAGATCTTTCTATGATTCAATAATCGAGAAATATAGTTTTGATTTTGGTTACTGTAATGGTTCCCTAATAAAATAGAATAAATAATACAATGAAATCTCTGTGTTTGCAAACAATTTATTATCATTTTTTTATTAAAATATAATACAAGCATTAATAACATACACAGGCAATAGAGAACCAAGGCAGAAGAGTTATAAGATATGCACCAAAAGCTGGAACAGAAGTTGTTGGAATATGGAGGAATATGACAGTTCAAGAAATAGCTAATGTGTTAAAAAAAGATATAGGTTAGTGCAGCAGGTTCCTTTGACAAAAACCCTGCGTTAAAGTTAAATTTCAATATTTTTAAGGCAGTGTTAAGTTTACAAATTTACTAGCTAGGAATATATTATATAGTCCGGTCAATTAAAAATAGTGGTCAAACAATAAAAATTCCCGGAAAGCCAAAAATTGGATGAGAGCTGGGGTTTACGTTAAATAAAGTTTTTAAAACTTTATTTATAATGGTGGTTTTGGTCCCTATCAATCAAAACTTGAGTTTTTTTTTTCTCAAAAACGGTATGTGTTATCCTTTGCCCCGAATAACTTTTGTAGCACACATATAATCGATGGGGATTTTAAAAACTTTATTAGAGCTAGCTCTCCACCAAAATTCAGCTTTCTGGGAATTTTTGTTATTTTAAATGTCTATATTGACCGGACGAATAGCTGGAAATGATTGAATAAAGTTGTACTCACAATTATTTTAACTGTCATCATGCCATTTCAATTTTAGTCAGAGTTTTCCTATCACACCATTTGGCATGATAGTTTGTCTGCCATATTTAGACTCTAATTTCTTGCAGTTTTTCATTGGTTGAAAACATTTATTTTGGTAACCTAATTATATTTTACTCCATATACTTAACATTGAAAATGTGAAATTTTCAGATCATGTGTTTAAAGCATTGGAATTTGCCGATAAGGAGTCTGATATTGTTTATAAAAAAAATACTGTTATTCACAATCCTCAGATCATTAGAGACATTGTTAAAATATCTGGTTGTAGATTTAAAATTATTGCTAAACCAAAGGAAGAACTGGAAGAAGAGGAGGTATGTTATGTTTAAGATGCTTATAACTTAAATTAAGTTCAACATAAAGAACATTACATTTTACTAACATAAAGTTAAAGATCTTTAGTAATGTATCTAGGTGAAATAAAACTATATGTATTGTCAGTGGTGCAGAGACTTCATTCTTTACTCTATTTTATACACTTATTAAACATAAAAAATACTATCTTAATAACCAGCATGTTTTAAAGCTGGATGATCTTTTTCTTATAATTGTAATATTCAACACATTAGACATGTCGGCTTGTAGCTGAAAGCATAAACAATTTGTACCAAATGCTTTATACTAGGTATGCTCCATGGTCATACCAGCATCAACATACAAGCCATGCATTAATGCAGTTATTGTACTTGACCATTGTTTTGAGTTATATTTAAACTGATATCTCATAAGATATTCATTAATAAAATCAAATGTACTTAGGAACAAAATTCTTCAAAATTAAATGCCTGTAAAGAATAAGGTATGTTCGTTAAGATAGATAAATATATATACCATGTGCAAAAAAAACCAGATAAGCTCAAAGCTTTTATTTTGGAACTAAAGCATGTTACTAATTTACGCATTATGCCAAAGAAAATCATATAATTGTAAAAATATTCTTACCTAGAATAAAGACGCAGTTCCAGCACCTCCGGCTCCTGTAGAAGCCCTTCGACGGCGCCCCCCAGTTGTCTGTGTTATGGGGCACGTTGACCATGGTAAAACAACACTGTTAGACGCATTGCGGAATACATCTGTCGTTGAAACTGAATTTGGTGGTATTACTCAACATATTGGTGCCTTTGAAGGTGAGGAAATTAGTATATACAGTCAAAACCGTTTACGACGACATCGTTTAAATCATACCGGTTCTATTGACCAAAATCAAAAGTCCCGGCTCAATTCTATTGTATTAAATACTTAATAACAACGTCATCGGCTGTTACGGCTATCGGTTTTTACGACCAAATATGAATAGTCGCTTCGATGTCGTTATAACGGATTTTGACTGTACATGTATATTGTCGTATATTTATATCTTTTATTTAATGTGACTTGCGGCAAACCGGATCTTAGTAATCATCAAAACACGTGAAAAAGCGTCATTCGACAAAAAAAAACCTTTCCTTACTTAAATTAAGTATTACGTAACGAGTATTGGGAGGGGGGTCCTTTTGTAAAACGTTACGATGCGGGGCAGGGATTGAATTACGCGTTATTGTTAATATTATTTTCGACTTACAGCACATAATAGTAACTAAAGAGTCACTAGGTGGTCACGAAACGTTTTACTATACTCGAGTACAGTACTGCACTTGGGTACTGAAAAACGTTACGGCGAGTTACATGGGGGGGTCAATAATCTCCAAAAATTGCGTTACGTAATACTTGTACGCTCCCTAATAAAAATTTCACTTTAACTGTTTATTCCTTATAATATAGATAGTTATTATCCATAATTTCAGTACACCTACAATCGGGCGATAAAGTAACGTTCTTAGACACGCCTGGTCACGCGGCGTTTAGTGCGATGCGGTCACGCGGGGCACACGCCACTGACATTGTAGTACTGGTTGTAGCAGCTGATGATGGAGTCATGGAACAAACTGTCCAATCCATACGGATGGCTAGAGAAGCTAATGGTAATATATTTATGAAAACATTGACATTTTCCTTTGAATAATTATTGTAATGTAGAGGGAGGGTAAAACTTGCTGAGTTTCTTGCCCGTTCTTCTCAGAACAAGGCCTCCTGTTAGTTTTGCGAACGGATGGCGTAGTCTTGCTCTTTCGCGAATTTTGTAAACGTTTTTGACATTCATAAGCATACCCTAAGACCTATCTAAATTGAATAAACGTATTTTGATTTTGAATTCTTTTTGATTTCGTGCGTAGCATTTATGCGAACGAAACAAAAAAAAAAGTATATAACTTTTATTTTCTATATTTTCTCCTCATGTTGAATTCTTATAAAAAGCCAGAAATGATAGCAGAGTGCATTTTTTTTGAATCAAATAATACAATAATGGCCGGGGACGCACTTGCAAACCTCCTGGTGTTGCTGCTGTCCATGGGCGGTAAACATTTAACTTTACGTGACACGCCTGTTCATCCTATTCCATAAAAAATAAATTTTCAGAAACAGTGCTCAAAAGAATATCATAGCTTTTCTCTAAAATTCAATTCTGTTGTCTATATTAGACTGTAAAGTGTAAACCATATACTGTCGAAATATGGGTACAGTAATTTTATTGTAACAACATAAGAGCATACAAATGCATATCTGTGATATCAAGTAAGTCTTTCCAGACTTTGCTTTTGTTATTAAGATGCGTAGTAAAGAGAATCAGCATTTCTTCCAAAACAGATTACTTTTTCAGTTCCAATTTTGGTGGCGATAAATAAAGTGGACAAGCCAGGTGTAGACATTGTAGGTATGCTCTTTTCATTTATTTGTATATTTTTCATAGTCAACTGAGATATACTTAGCTTATATTATTCTAGGAACGCACAATGAAATCCCTAGCGCAGTACGGTGTTGTTTGCGAAGCGTTAGGAGGTGACGTTCAGTCCATTGCTGTGTCAGCATTAAAAAGGCTGAATTTAGACTCCCTGGTTGAAGCTCTCATTGTTCAAGCTCAGATGATGGAACTTAAGGCTGACCCGGGGGGGTATGTGGAAGGGGTGGTGATAGAAAGCCAAGTGGATGCGAAAGTTGGGTGAGTTTTTATTCTGAAGGACTATGTAAAGATATTTAATGTTTAGTAGTCTCTATCAAATATATTAGGTCCTTAGATATGAAATTGGCGTTTTGTATGGGAGGAACAAAAAGTCGAATATTTTTAAATATAATATATTTAATTAATCAAACTATGAAACATTGTTTTCTATGCACTTTTCCATCTCATAGGTAGTTCATTGACCCCTTTACTAAAAAAACAGTCGGACGGGAATCAATAAAATCTGTGAAGGCGATTTGGACTGCCCCATCAGAGTTAAATTTTTCCCTTTGCAAGAAGTTGTCCAAATTTCGAAAAAAATTGTAATCTGTTGGAGCAAGGTCCGGGAGTACGGAGGATGTCTTAGACATTCCAATTGTAGCTCTTCTAATTTGGTAGCCGTCTTTATGCAGTGTGTGGTCTAGCGTTGTCGTGAAGTAGCAGTGGCGTGGATCGAAAACCAGCTGTTTAGCCGCTACTTTTCCATCATGGTTTGCAATTGCTGACAATAGACATCAGCCGTAATAGTCTGCCAATTTGAGAAAATTGCATGAACAATACCGGCACTATCCCCAAACCTTACAAGTAACTTTTTGGGGTTAATTTTCACTTGGGCAGGATTTGGCTGGCTGCCAGATCCAACCATTGCGCTGAGCGCTTCCGATTATCGTAAAAATCCATTTTTCATCACAGTACTATTCGGTTTAAAATACCTTCATATTATGCCGGTTCAGTAATTAACGCACAGCGACCCTTTGCCGGTTTGCTTCAGTCAATTCGTGAGGTCCATCTTTCAAGCTTTTTAATCTTCCCAATTTGCTTCAACTAATTAAAACAGTTTTATCACTAACACCCAGCCTCACTAACTCGGACGTGGTTTGCATGGATCCGCTTCCACAATACCTACAATACTTCATTATCAACTTGGGTCTCAGCCCTCAGGCCGTCCGCAGGTCGAAATTTCAGAACGAAAACGTTGGAACCAAAAACGAACTGTGTTTTATTTTGCAACATGTTGCACACATTTCATTCACCCTTCGAGTCGTTTCCCAGCACTAGTGCCACGCGGAACTCGTACTCGTAAATAATGCGATACTTTAAGTTTTCCATTTTGTAAAATGAGTGACGCAAAAGAAAAAAACAGAAGAAAAACAAATTAATGACGGTCATCGAAGCACAAATACATGAGTAAATAGCTGTACAAATTTTAATTTGGAATTCCTTACCAAAGAGGAGAACATCGTGATTAAAGTTGCCATACGATATACGCCAATTTCATATGTAAGGACCTAATATAAAATTCTCGTGTCGCGGTGTCTGTGGTTAAACTCCTCCGAAACGGCTCGACCGATTCTCATGAAATTTTGTGTGCATATTGGGTATGTCTGAGAATCGGACAACATCTATTTTTCATCCCCCTAAATGTTAAGGGTAGTCCAACCCCTAAATTTTTTTTTTATTTTAGATATTTTTTTCATTTTTATTTTTTTATGATACAGCATTAAAAATACATACAACCCCTAACTTTCACCTCTCTACGATCAACCCCTATTTTTTTATCATAAATGATATACATGGCAAAACGACGTTTGCCCGGTCAGCTAGTCTTTATATATAATTACTAGTGGACCCCACAGACGTTGTATGTGCATTGTTTTTAAAGCGATTAGGATATTAAGCAAAGTATGAAAGTACCGACTGCAGTGCCATCTGCCGCGCTGATTTGTGAATCTAAACCATTCCCAGATCCCCTTGAACACACACAAAAAATTTCATCAAAATCGGTCCAGTCGTTTGAGAGAAGTTCAGTCACATACACACGCACAGAAGAAATATATATATTAAGATGACTATTATCATTGAACTAAAATTGTTTTAAAATAGCTTCATTAAAATGTATCATCCCCCAACTTTCATATTATACCAACAAAGTATTATCATGTTTTAACATCCTACTACTGTATTATAATAATCTTTATTAAATTGCTTAAATTGCTTGACCGATTTTTATGAAATTTTTTGTGCATATTCTGTTGGATCGAGAATATGTCTTAACATGATTTTTATACACCTTAATTGATAACCCGAAAATCATACCCTAACATTTTTTAATGATTTGCTATTAAAGTTTTTATTTATAAATTGTAATTTTTGCTGCTACCACGATCTCCCTATTTTAAATAGCGATACTAGTACTGTAATAATCTAAAGAGTACAACGTTTACTGTTGTTCCTCTTTATGTTTAATTTTGTTTATTCTTTCGAAAACCTACATATATATAAATAATCTTTAAATAACAATTGTTCTGTTCGTATCGCTTATTGGTTATTGTGGAAATATATATTATAGAAAATTCTTCAATTCTTCATTATAGTTATGAATACTTTTCATTTCAGAAAACAAGCGACAGTACTAGTGCAGCGCGGTACACTGCGTCAAGGGTGTATCGTGGTTGCTGGTACTGGATGGGGGAAAGTAAGTTTTTATATTTATTTTGTCAATATGACATTTTTTAATAGAATAACTTATTTTTTCAAAACGTACCTTAAACTTAATATATAATTAACTTTTAGGTCCGAATACTTAAAAATGCAGAAGGTGGTATAGTTACTGAAGCTCCACCCTCGACTCCTGTAGTAGTGTTGGGCTGGAGGGAACTTCCCGCTGCTGGCGATGTGGTACTAGAAGTACCATCAGAGGTGTGTTTTAGACGTAAGACATTTACGATGATAAGGACTTGTAAACTTTACTATAAAATTGAAAAATTTAACACACGCTGAGAACCATAGATAACAAAATACACTATGGGCGTGACCAAATATCGCGCGTTGTTCGAGCGCGGCGTTACGCGCGCTCTGCTTGTACAAGTGCCGCGCGCTTTATGGCCGATTACATTATCTTAGGGTGAGATCTATAGTGCGCACTTAGACTTTGCTCTGACTTAACTATCGAGCTAAAGACACAGTCGGTATTTATAGAGCAAACTACGAATCTCTCCCCTAGTGTTGGCTTAGCTTAATCTCAAGTCCACAAATCGACGACTTACCAAAAACTTTGACTATAAGCCTAACAAAAATAATGGCCCAAAATTTGCTTTACCATCATATCTTTTACTGGACTTTTTATTTTTGTCGGTTTTTAATGAACGGTTTGCATTTTGTATCGGAGTTCCATAGACTTTGGGAAAAAATTTGATCAAAGAAATTATAAATGATCTTGATAAATACCTATGAAATGCATGAAATAAAATAATTAAATTATTATGGTATTTATTGTTGTTTATTTATATTATTTATGTAATTGTTCAAACCCCATTTTTGAGAAATCTTAAAAATAACTGGTGTGATTTTGTATGTCACCTGGCAGCCCTGGCAATTGGCATATTATAGTGACAACGAAATTCAAACTATAACCCCAACCAAAACATTGCGATCCGTTCTACGTAATAAAATTATTGTCATCTTTAAATAATTAATACATTTTCTAAAAGGTTACTCGTGAATTTCTAGTTATTGCAATAATAAAATAAATGAATACATAAATAACAATAAATTGAAGATATATGTGTACCGTTTTAGATTTTTAAATATTTGTTATTGTTAACTTTTTTTAAAGGATAATAAACAAAGTATTGCATGAAATGAAACATCAATTTGTATTTTGACATTTTCTGTCTTAGCTTGGAGCTTAGCTTAATCTCACCGTTAAAATGTCTATAAATACTTAACGAAATCATAGTTTAACCTTAGTGTACACTAAGCAAAGTTTTCGTGGTAGGAAGGTAAGTCTGAGGCAAAGTCCAAGTGCGCACTATAGATCTCACCCTTAGTGTTTAGGAGAGTGCTTTAGGATAGTACTTTAGTTGAAACATGTAAACGCTACTTGCTTTAGTACGGTTCTACTTGACTTTCAAGTTGAATCAAAATAGAATCGCTTTTTATTTTTGTTTCCCAAGCTTGATACCGCTCCGGGCCCGCCTTTGTTTCGGGCGATACCCCCCCCCCCCCCGGGCGCAACCCCCCCCCGAGATCTTCCCCTCCGCCCGCAGACCCCCTCTTTTTCGTTGTGTGCTCAAACTGTAAACACGTAATTTAGTAAAATCTTTAGCTTTGGGGAGAGTGCAGAAGTGCCGTGAAACGCGTGCGTGTTTTTTGATTTTTAAAGATGGCTAAATGGTCGGAAGATACAACTATCAAATTTGTGTCTGAATATGTTGTTCACGAATGTTTGTGGAACGTTAAAACAATTTATACAAAAACAAACAGGCTAGGCATTCGGCATACACTGCCTTAAAAGAAGCTATTTTATTTATTATTTATATTTAGTTTATTTTTTTTTCGAATAAAATCTCGTCTTCTATTTGTTCCATAACTACAGTTAGTATTTTGCGTAGAATAGAGAGTATTTGCCGACGTCGTTGCGCGTTCATTGTGGCGCTGTAATGATACTCTACTGGAAGAAATGTAAACGTTCACTCGCAACGCACTAATGAACTTGCCTTTCAACTTGTACTAAAATACTCTCCTCCCCCAAACACTAAGATAATGTAAATCGGCCTTTATTGTGTGCAGGTGCATTCGCATTAGGGATGATCGATATTGACATCGATGTCGTAATCGAAAGCCCAACATTGATGATTTTTGCATTAATAATTGACAAAGAACTAAAATGCAGTAAAATGATTCGAAATTTATTAAGAAACAGAAAAAAAATTATTTACATATTTCGATATTTTTTATCAACTGGCTGAATGTAAAGTAATTTTGATAAAGAAGAACCTTTTCATCTATTTCTTTGTTGATAAAGAGTAGTGAGGAAGTGTGAGAGAGAAAGAGTGAGCGAGACTACGATGATTCCGGTTTTGGAAACAGAAGTTTCATCATACAGGCCTATTAGTCTTCTCCCTTGCTATCAAAAGTATTTGAGAACGTTCACACTAAGAAGAGAAGAGTGCTCACGGGTGACTCTGGAGGGTGCTGTTTTGCCAAAACGGACTACAGCCAAATATTTGGGCATGCACCTTATGCATTAGGTAGAAAAGCCGCACTCAGTCTGGAAAATAAACTTCTCATCTACAAAACTGTAATAAAACCAATATGGTCCTATGGGATACAGCTCTGGGGGTCAGCAAGCCGCTCTAATATCGAAATCCTGCAGAAAACAAAACACTGCGAAATATGAGCGGTGCGTCGTGGTTAACACGAAATGCTGAGGTCCATAAATATTTGGAATTGCCACTGTCGAGGAAGACAAATTATGTTAAATAGTTGTAAATTTATAATAATACATAACTTCAATCCGGTCAAAATAGAGTTTTATTAGACATTAAAAGATCAACCGTACGATACGGACTTCAACAACCCCCTAGCTTCGAGCCTCTTAGAAACGACGGACTGTGTGTATCGACTGAAAAGGGCGAAATTTGCCGCAGTGTGATAGTTTACGAATTACGGAGGGAAATAAAAAAATATTGGATTTGAGTTCCCTTATTGCCATCATTTCATAAAATCTGATAAAAGCCAAGAGGTAGATTGCAGATGGATTAAAAAAAGACTAACTACTGACTAACTTTATTACAGTACAAGGCACTGATATGAAGCAAACATATAATTATGTGTGCCCTTCTTGAAAGATTGCACCCCGCGACGGCCCAAGCCGAGGTTCGAGTCTCACAGGAGACGCCCTTGCGCTAGTCGCAGGAAAACCGACTATTCAAGCCGAGCTACGCTCGCCAAAACAGCCCGAGCTGAGCTGTAAAGGCCCTTGAGGCCAACAGCGAGACTCCATTAAAAAAAAAATTGAAAGATTAATTTTCGCTGCGGGTACGAATAGTGACGATATTTCGTTGTAGCCCACAGAACTTATTATAAATATATATAGTTGGATACATGAGCGGGTAAAATGGGTACACACCGTACATTCTACAATACATAGAGACATGAGTCGCTTTATGTGTTAATTTGTAGCTAGATAATAATCTAATATCTGATGTTTTCTTCAAGGAGTTTTGTTTCATTATATACTGCTCAAAACAATTAGCGGAACAAGATTTTTCTCATTTCTATTGCATAAACTAAAATTAGATTTAAATTAACTTGTACGCTATTTTTTACCTTGTTAATTTGTTAATTACTACAATTAATAAAAAAAACAATTTGTATTTTTTTTTATTAAAAAAAAATTTAAATGTGCATTGTAGACGAAAAACTAATTGGTGATAAAAAAGGTCCATCAAAGAAATATTCTTATATCGTTTGAATATTCGTCTTTAGTGACTTTCAGTAACGTGTCTGGCCTCCATGAGCCCTAATCAAGGCTTGACAACGACGCGGCATGCTTCGTATGATCCTTCGAATATCTTCTTGTGGAATTCGCTCCCATTCTTCAATCAGCGCTTCAGTGAGCTGCTGCAGTGTTTGAGGTGCAATCGGACGCTTCCGGATGCGCCTGTCAAGCAAGTCCCAAATGTGTTCAATTGGATTTAGGTCAGGGCTCATGGTAGGCCACTCCATTACACGGATTTCCTGCTGTCGTAAGTAATCTGACGTAATGGCTGCAGTATGCGGCCTGGCATTATCTTGCATTAAAAGAAAATCTGGGCCCATACCATATGCTGCGGGCCAAACATGATCTTCGAGCACATTTTCAATGTAAGTTTGAGCACACAAGCGCCCGGGAACAACGAAAAATCTTGTTCCGCTAATTGTTTTGAGCAGTATATATTGTAGTCAATTATACACGCTTAATTTTTTGACATACAGTACATCCTTAGGGTTTTTAAACAAACTAAAAGCATAGAGGGAAACCAAAATGTTTATTATATATGATAAAAATGAAACTCTTTAACGGATTTAAAAACTAAATCAAAGGCAATATTTTGTAATAGAATTCTGATTGTTACAACAGAAAAGAGCCAACGAAGTTATGCGATGGCGTCACAACCAATTTATGAAGGAGAAACAACAATCGGATCTCGAAGTGATCACGGTTAAGGCGGCGGAACATAATGCTTTGTACCGGGAACAATTGATGAAACGTCGCGCAATGGGACGGTTCCGCGTACGCGCCACCGGCCCGAGGGACAAGATGATACAAGATGATGGCCATCCAACCCTCAGTGTACTTGTTAAAGGTATACTACGACAGTGTTATTAAAAAAAAAGTGTGTGCGTGTAACCTTTACGCGCGATTGAAGTAAAACTTCTTTGGCGTTGATGGCATATATCACTGAAATGATTAAATATTAACTTTAATAATGAATATTATAATTTAATTATATTTATTATTCATGTGCTTTACAAAGATTATTCAAAGACGAAGGTTAGATCAACACATGTCAATATAACCTTGTTATTGAATATTATAGAATGTCGCAATTGTCAGAAAATTTATTATTAATTTACTTAGATTAAAAGTAATAAATCAATAAGTATATTTAGAGATTTTCAAAAAACTTTGCAATTTAAAATATTTACGAAAAATTTGGAAATAAATAATCCTGATTGATTATGATATTTGCCACTAGCTGGCGTATAAGTCAAGAAGCGTGGAGTATATGACAATTGACATATACTTACGACCAATCCGAATTATTATTTTTAAATACCGGAACTACACAGACTAACTAACTACACAAGTAAGCGTTACTTCCGTCAGAAAAAAAATCTGAGTCTCTACTCTACGAACTCCCTAGTCGCGCCTAAAGAAGTTTTACTTAAAAAAAAATCAATGGCGCTACAACCTCTTTAGGTTTTGGTCTTAGATTTCTGAATCTGTTTCATGATCATTTTTAAATCTAATAGGCAAGTAGGTGATCAGCCTTCAGTGCCTGACACACGCCGTCGACTTTTTGGGTCTAAGACATGTCGGTTTACTCACGATGTTTTCCTTCACCGTTCGAGCAAATGTTAAATGCGCACATAGATAGAAAGTCCATTGGTGCACAGCCGGGGATCGAATCTATGATCTCAAAGATGAGAGTCGCACGCTGAAGCCACTAGGCCAACACTGCTCTACGACGGTTTTATTAGATATTTTTTTTTTACCTGCGCTTTTCTACTTCTACGTTTTTTAAATTATAAAAGTTCATTACAGAAGTCCCCCACGAATAATCTGACCAAATTAAAAAAACGACGTAGAAATAGAAAAGTGCAGGTATTCTTTTATTATAACTAAAATATTGCTGATATTTGTTTATTTAACACTTTATTTATTATCCACAAATTAAAAAAATGATAATGTTTAAATTAAAATATAGCCATAACAGCTTTGAGATTTTCAGAGTACTCAATTACACGTTGTATATGTACCATACCATACTAATGGCCATAGGCCTCCTCTCTTGCGCGAGAGGGAATGGTCTGTAGCCTCCACGCTAGCCCAATGTGTATTGAGACTTCACATTCATCCATAGAACATAATATCTCTTGGCTTTTTGCCAGCCCTGCCACCCTATTGTTACGCCACTGATTGCAGGTGACGTGGATGGTTCAGTTGAAGCGATTCTCAACATTTTGGAGACTTACGACGAGCATCATACTGTGAGGCTCGATTTAGTACACTTTGGGGTCGGCCAGTTGACTCCTAATGACCTTGAGGTATGCTTTCGGATATTAGCGGATTTTAGATTTTAAAAATCTAGAATAATGTCAGTAATTCGAAAATATTGTCTTTTCTTCTTATATATATATGCGTGCGGTTATTTTGTGTAAACCAATGAAATAACAAGGTACTTATATATATAATAAAACAAATCAAGGCAAATTGTTATGTTGGGTGTTGAAATTCGCTCTGATAGGAGTGAACTTAAATTTATTGTATTACTTTTATAAAATCATAAATTAAGTTCAGCTAATCTGTAACACGACATTCATTAACTGTCCTGGTCAGCTAGTATATTACTATATTATATAGAATAGACAGCTTCCGGTACATGTTGAAATTTGAAACATTTATAAATTAATTTAATCATTAAAAGTTTGTCCGCCACTTCTGCATTAGTTTACAGTGACACATAGTTGCTATGTATTTATCAATGTGACATGCATTTTTTGTATTTTATCGTATTTTTAAAGTAAAAAAAAAGTAATTATAAAACAATATTAGTCATTGCTTGGTATTTTTAGATAGCAGAAGCATTTAATGCTGTCATATTCGCATTCAACGTGGATATACCTCCTGCTTTAGCCGTAGAGGCGAAGCAGAACAATGTAGAAGTGAAAAGGCACAACGTTATTTACAAATTGGTGGATGAGGTGAAGCAGCTCATCAATCAGAAGATTCCCACTACACAGCAGGAGGAGCTTCTTGGTAGGTTTTTAATTTTTTAGGACATCTATGTTTCTCTCTCTCTCTCAATCACCTTCAGAAACAAAACAAAAAAGTATAAAATAGTATTATCTTTTATTGACATAACTTTTAGACATAGAAAAACACTTTTTGAACGGATTTGAAGTTATGTTTTATTATAAATTTACAATTATTTTACATAATTTTAAAATTAACCGACGTTTCGCGTGTTTAACAGCGTGCGTGGTCACGGTGATTGAAGACAAAAGGTGTTGAATGTCAAAAAGTAACTCTACCTACTAACTCCTAGTCGATAGTCGATACCAACTCCGGGGAAATAAATACAGATAACACAACTTTTTCTACAGCTGTGATACTTTTTGACATTCAACACCTTTTGTCTTCAGTCATCGTGACCACGCACGCTGTTAAGCACGCGAAACGTCGGTTAAATTTAAAATTATGTAAAATAATTGTAAATTTATAATAAAACATAACTTCAAATCCGTTCAAAAAGTGTTTTTCTTAGTATAAAATATATATTTTTCTTAGGTGAGGCAAAAGTTTTGCAACAGTTCCTAGTTTCGGAAGGCAAGAAGAAAGTGCCGGTGGCTGGATGTCGCTGTACCAAAGGAACGCTTTTGAGACAGGCTTTGTATAAAGTGATACGGAATGATCAAGTCGTGTTCGAAGGTGAGTAAACGTCTTATCACAAAAAATAATATTACGTGAAGAAAAGGAAAGGCAAATAAAATTTATCTGCTTCCGAGCTTACTACAAAAGTAAAAATTTTGTTTGTTTTAAGAAGTTGATATAAGTTGTACACATATTAACCTTTGCTTACAATAAACTTATTTAAATTCTTTAGGTGATTTGACATCAGATTGTTGCTCGAGAGTATTTCTTGCTTTTAAATAAAATTGACTTTCTTATTAATAAAAACTGTCAAAACTTTACGGTGTTTACACGTATCTGAGCATATTTAGTTGCTTTTTTTAATTTAACAATAATTATAAATAATTGACGTCATTCGCGTGGACTGTGAAGATTACCTTTTTAATAACTTAAAATATTTGCAGGTAAATTAGCCTCAATGAAGCATTTAAGAGACGAAGTAACATCAATAAAGAATGACACAGAATGCGGGATCCGGTTCGATGATACGAGCTTTGACGTACAGCCCGGAGATATCGTAGTGTGCTATAAACTCGTAGATGTCACTCACACAACGGAATGGGATCCTGGATTTTAGCGAGTGTTAGTTCTATTAAAACTTTATTAGATTAAAGCGTTTGTTTTGAATTCTAAAACTACCTTTTCATTCATCTAAACACGAAAACATCTTCCTGGTTTCGGCATTTTATTATGTGGTTTGACCATATATTAAAAGCCAATTATGTATAATTACTGGCCGTTTATGTAGCTAAATCTGTGTTGTCCTCAATATTCCCGGTCGCTTCGAAATCCTCAACCAATAATCTCATTACTAGGAAAACAATAGTTCTTTTTAAAAAAAAAATTTAATATCTCGTCTGTCCTTCTGACTACACTAATAAGGGGAAAGGTAAAAGGTTAAAACTAATAAATAAAGAGAATCGTCTATTTATTTTATCATAAACTCGATAGGCTCAAAATTCGTGTCTCACTAGTTTAAAAACTTCAATAAATTAACAAGTCAAGCGTGAACAAACTCCTTCAACGCCTCATACAAATAACAATCATTTGTTTTTAAAAACATTCGGCTTCTCATATTTGGATCTTGTGAATATTGTTATCACAACAAACACGAAACAAATTTATATACATTAAATAGTATTGTCATCTTCCTTTACAAAAACTTAAGATAATAATAAATTATTATGTAGACACGGTACTATTATTTTGATAGCACATGCCCCTGATCCATAAACTCAGTGGAAGATGCAATACTAGTTTAACGTAAATTTCCATTAATTTGTTTTGTTCATATGTAATGCCATAAGCAACATTCATGAGATATCTCCTTCAGCCGTAGAGAAATTATCATATAATACACGAGGAAATATTTTCCCTACAACCTTTTGCTCATGACTCAAGATACACTAATATATAAATGCGGCTAAAGTAAATAAAATTACTTATTTACTGATTTACTATATACAACATAATATAACAATTAACTTGTTAAGTATTTTGTTCTTAAAGCATTAATTCAATTTTTGGACTAGATTTCTAATAGACTAAGAAAAAGGATTTTTACGTTTTATACAACAAAATTGCGAAAAATTTTTTATATGAGTACTAAAGTAATAAACATAAACACAAAGCGGAAAATTTAATAAGATATAACGAGCGTGTTAAATGTGACTTAGGGAGCGTTCAAGTATTACGTAACGCAATTTTTGGAGATTATTGACCCCCCCCCCATGTAACTCGCCGTAACGTTTTTCAGTACCCTAGTACAGTACTGTACTCAAGTATAGTAAAACGTTTCGTGACCACCTTGTGTCTCTTTAGTTACTATTATGTGGTGTAAGTCGAAAATAATATTAACAATAACGCGTAATTCAATCCCCGCCCCGCATCGTAACGTTTTACAAAAGGAATAAAAACTCGTTACGTAATAATTGAACGCGCCCTTATGAGAAACCTCTAGGAGTTTTTAGTACTCTTGATTAAGTACCGCGAATTTGTAACTACTTACATTCTAATTTTACTCTTTTAAATAAAATAAAACTTCGACCGGATGCTTGTAATAGATTATACAATATAATTGGTATAAATTCAAGAAACTGAATAAATGCTTTAATCGCAAATAATTAAACAATATTCATTCATATGTAACAGAGTAGTCATTTTAAATATTCATTATAACTAAACCAATATGAAAATGTTATAAAGTTAAAAATGGCGCTAGTATGTGCACTAGTTTATTACTTTTAATCAGTTCTTATATCATTGATTTTTATAAAGAAACATTTATGTCTTACATGCCATCACCAACATAATCGGCGGGTATAGGAATGTGCAAAACTGATCCTGACACTTTTAGACGAGAACCGTCATATAAATTGGCAAGAGACAATAGATTTTTAAGTCTTTCCCTATTCAAATAAACTGCGCGAGTTTTTACGCGTAATTTTTTTATTTTATTTATTATAATATGATTGCGATATTATCTATGGTCTAAAAGTTAATCTGAAAATTACAATGATTATTGCCGTTAAATACTTCCAGAAGGTTCGTTTACACAGAAACCATCAAAAAAAAGAATGAAAGTGTCAAGTATTGTGTAGTATAAAGTTGGAGAATTAATAACTAATTTATCGAAATATATGATATCAATAATAGAATAAGACATATCATAGTTCGTCTAAATTGCCTAGTACTTATAACACTTTCTTTTAACAAGGTGCAGCAGTTAAATAACTTGGCAGATATGAACAGTCAGAAAAAATCAACAGTCAAATTTCTTGTGCTACAAAAAACTATATGATATCAATTTCGTCAATATCAAGAGCGATATTCATAATCTTTTTCCGTAAGATTTTCTAAATTGCGAATGAACATAGGAATAGGATGTGCCCACGCCTCTTTTACAAATTACAGAAACTTATTTCCTCGCCACACTTTTTCACAAAACGAAATTATTAATTCGAATCGAAACCGCATTATAATACAACAATATAATTTATTAAATAAATAATTTTAAGAGTATAAACACAAAGAGTTATAATATGGTGGTGCATTTCTATATAAACTCATTTTTCTAACTAATTAGGTATTGTGTAGATTTATGTAAGAATCGTTACAATAATGCCCCTTCCAAGTCTATGATGTTTTAAAAGCATGTTCCAGTTTATACCCAATGAAGAAAATTTATCCTCCAACCAAACTAGTTTTACTTATTCAAAACAAGTGGTAAGGGTCCACATAATGCAGTTCACCAGTACCACATTACGTTGTTGACCCTTGAAAACATATTTTAATAGTATGTAATGAAACATACTTTTAATATATCCATAAAGTATTAACAGCCGAAATAGTGGCGACTCGGACAATCTTGGATTGCGATCGCTTTCCTATATTTACAAGAGATGGTGGCTTAAAGTATATACACAAGTTTATACAATTTCAAATCTCTAACACGCTTTTTATCACTTAATATCTTGCTCCAAATAAGATATAAAATATATTTTCAAAAAAGGCTTGTTTTAAAAAAGTACCTTAGTTAACATTTTGCCATTTCGTATTATCCTGCATTACTATTAAAAATTAAACAGTCTTTAACCGGTTGTTAAGGTGATCAGAAACGACCGAGGCATTAAAGTATTAGTAGCCATGAAGCAAGACATCGAATATATCTACTCCTATTCGTTGTACCACACACTACCACTCCGAGATATAATATAATAAATAATATTAAAGACGGTTAACTAATATGATTAAAAAAAATTGTCGGATTTTTCAAGATTATGATGAGTAAATTTATAAAACTGGCATAATAAATGGAGCAATACTGTCGGTACAACTCAATAAGGTCGGGCTAGTCAGTCAGGTCGACGCGGTCCCGGCGGGTCGGGCCGGGCGCGGAACGTAACGGCCGAGACCAAGTGTTCACGCACCCGTCGGCGCACGCAGTTATAAAGTACTCCGACCGAAACAATAAGGCCGTTAGCCTCTCATGCGCTATCTTCTTACATACGAGCGGCTCCAGGACGGGACACTCGTCGAAACGGGGGCACGACGGAGTCCCTATTAACTTAACGGGGTCACAGCTATCGTTCGTTTGCGCCCCCGCTGACTTCCCCCTTAACGCTACCGTATTGGCCGCCGATGACTTATCTGTACTCTTTGTCAAACTAAAGTTCCGTCTGTGATCTGACCGACGTTCCCCGAAAGATAAAGCTGCCAGTCGTTGCGTAAAATTAACCCCTAACGATCCGGACGCTTCCTCTTTCGCCTTTCCGACGTTAATATTCAACGTGGAAATGTTATTCGATTTCGATTTAGCTGCTTTCGCGCCGGAAGGTTCGCCGGCGGCGTTATTTCCACCTAATTCCGCATGTTTATGCCCGATTTTGTTGTTTTTGGTACATTTTTGATGTACTTTTGTTCCGGGGATACCGTTCGAGGAAATATTGTTGCTATTAGGGGAAAGGTGTGTAGATGCTCTCGCTCGCACGGCCGGTTTGAGAACGTCTTCGGTTAAGTCCCAGAAGCACAACTGTGTGTCTTGAGAAACACTGCCTAGCCTGTAACTCTGTGCACTTTCACTTTTGTCCTCGCGCGTATCTTCCGTGGCCGGCTCACCCAAGCTGACTATGTATGGGTCGAAGGCGACGACCGAGACCCATGACCTGTGCCCTTGACCCCTGGCCACGACCCGTCTTTCGCTGAAGGACCAGACGGTAACAAGATCGTCTTCTCCTCCCACTACAACGTATTTCCCGTCTGGTGACCAGCAGACGCAGAGGAAGCCGCCAAAGTAGGAGCGAGCTCGCCCGACGAGTTCCATGGTATCGTAGTGAAAGCAGCGCAAGAAGCCGTCCTGAGAGACAACCGCCAGATTCGTGCCGCACGGAGAGAATGCGAACTCGTTTATACAGCTCTCTGCACCTATTACCCACCTGCAATTTTTCAAAAAGTTTGTAATAGTTGTGATAAACCATAAATAAATTATCAACTAGGACAAAAAGAAAATTTATATCATTAATAATTATTTCTATTCTATAGTTATTTTCCTTTCGCCAGAAGCTAGATGTGTAGTTTTAATCATTCTAACTTACGCCGTTTCTGAGTTACATCAAGCAGTAGAATAGCTATTAATATATCAAAGTTATACAACACATAACTTAAGATAACTTTTAATTTTTTTTCAATTACCAACCTTAGAAAGTTGGAATTTATTGCCATTAAAAAATAAGTATAGCATTTCATGCAGAAACTGTATCAACTACCTGTAAAGTGGGTTTCTAGTACTCTTAGTCCGACAAGTATGTATTGAGTAGCCATCACCATGCTTGAAAAGTTGATATTGTGGTGTCGTGGTCCCACAGTTTAACTCCTCATTGTACACATAAAGTTGGCCCGATGCATGCGCTGCTATGAAAAGGTTACTTGAGCCTGGCACCCACTTCATGCATGTGACTCGGCTCTTATCTATCAGTCTCTGGAATTGTTATGTTGGGAAATCAATCTATTATACATAAATATATATGCCAAAAAACAACAAATTTAAAAGTAAGAGTAGCACTTGTTCTTGTATTTGCTTTTAAATCACATTCATAAATTTGTTTTTTCTCAATTAAATGAAATTGTTAATATCTTCTAATATTCTCTCTCTAAAGTTTCTACTAAAATTTACCTATTGTTGGCTAACATTTCACTTTAAATTAGAGCCATGTTTTTTATCTTGTCTCACTAGTCATAAATTCAACTCATTTTGACTGATTTTTTTATCCTTAGACTCACCTCTTCATTATAAAGTTTACTTAATTCTTTCTTAATAGGATCTATTAATTGTATTTGGCCAGTAGAAAAGCCTATGACTAATGAAACACTATCTGGTGTCATCGTGACCGTGTTGAAGTCATGACAGGTTGGGTTTGTGCCCTTATACATCTTTTTATCCACTGGTTTTGTGAGGTCTGCTGCCTAAAAATCAAAATTCATGAGTTACTTATAAAAAAATTGAAGGTAGCAGTATACTACAGCATTACATTAATCTAATTGTAAAAAATAGACGTTCAAACTTAATGAAATGATTTCTTTGAATGCCATTTTACATAATGCAGGAAACAGTATTATGTGTGCTTAAGTTATCTCAGAGGAAAATAAGATTATGAAAGATTTTAATCTAATTTAATGTAACTACTGTGTAGTAGTTGATAGTCTTAGCATTATATTCATTGAATAAAACCAATTTATAACAATTTTAAGAGTTATTTATACAAACTATATTGTTTATTTGTTAAAATAATTACACACAGGAGATATTAAAAATTAAACTTAATATATTATCAATGTATTTTATAATTACAGTAGAACCTCTATAAGTCGAAAATCAGGGGGGGCGCAAAAAAAAAGGTTTGGGGGTTTTAAATTCTGAAGGGGGGGGGGGGGGGGGGGGGGGGGGTGGAAAGGGAGAGAGGGGGGGGTTTTTTTTTTCCCCCCCCCCCCCCCCCCCCCCCCACAACAACCCACACCCCTTTCTTTTTTATTTTTTTTTTTTTTTTTTTTTTTCCCCAAAATAAAATATAACACCACCTCCCCCCCCCCCCCGGGGCCCCAATTTTTTTTTTTTTTTTTTTTTTTTTTTTTTGGTTTTAGATTTTTTATTTCCCTCCCCCGGGGGGGGGGGGGGTTTTTTTTTTTTTTTTTTTTTGTTTGTTGGAGAGATTTCCCCCGCGCCCCCGGGGGGGGGGGGGTGGGTGTTTTTTTCCCGGGGGGGGGGGGGGTTTTTTTGGGGGGGGGGGGGGGTTTGGGGGGGGGGGGGGGGGGTTTTTTTTTTTTTTTTTTTTTTTTTTTTTTTTTTTTTTTTTTTTTTTTTTTTTATAATTACTATCATCTTCCTTTTTATCATTATAGACAAAAATATCTTAATGTTCATGGAATATTTGTATATTGTTATGGTACAATTTAAATTTAATTTTACCAATTTAAATATTAATAAAAGTATACAAAATTCTCTTAATAATCTAAATACTATTAATATAACTTATGACAAAAGGTTTCAGTTAATTGTAAGTAGTTTTCTACATATATATTATTAAGTCTTAGCTAGTCACAACCCAATTTATCTCTCAAACTAAGACAGTCCTTAAACATGTTTAATATGCCTGAAGAAGTTATAATTTGTACCTAAAATTGTAAATTTCATTATTGTTATGTTACAAATTATTAATTAGAAAATCCTTAAGCACATACAATATTTTAATAAGCAGATCAAACTTACATATATATCATATCATCTTAGCATGTTTTATCTTTACTTGAAGATATTAAGATATGGTAAAGCTAAATATTATTTTCATACCTTTTTAATGCCTTTATACACATACACATATAGCTCTTTTCCATGGTTAAAACAAATTCTGTCTTCTGAGGTAGGTCCATCAGAGCCAGGAGCAGCACCTGGAGGCAAAGTCACCAAAGAGACTCGAACATGTGTGGAACCAGAGCCACTAGTATAACCCACACGGTTAGGCCGTGAGTACTCCGAAAGCGTCATCAACCGGTACGTCCCTTCTCGTGTTACAAACTGTGTCTTCACATCGTCCTTCCCGCCGGAGTCAGATTGCACGGCCATGTTATCATATCCTGTTTTTATGCATCGAGACCGCCTGGTTAGCTCGACTGCGTACAGGCACCTCAACTAGCAAGTGAATTTGATCGCTGATACCCAAAATCCATTGCTTATACGCATATCTTGGGATTATAAGGTTAAATATAAGCTTCATAAACCTGTTATTGTGTTTAATAAAACAAAATTCGAATCAGATTAAAATAGTTCTTGTCTCTAGTGGTTCTAGTTTCATTTTGTCAAGTTGTCAATGTCGATTGAGTTTTGACACTTGACATTGAAGCTGTGCTTTTAAAAAAAAAGTGCCTTTAGACTTATGTAGGTGTCACGTAATGTGATATTAAACTGTGAAATTAATTGAGTTACCTATGTATAAAAATACGTGGTGCATAATGTACGTTTGTATTTCTAAAATTATCTTGGTAGTTGGTCTGTGCTAAGTGCTTATATAAATTGTAGACATTCTGTATGTCTACCGATTTTTTATATATTATGTACAATACTTTTTTGCAACTACATATTTTTAAATCATGCCTGGTGCAAGCTGCTAGTTGAAGTATAGACTTATATCACAATACACTTTGATATTCTAAGTATTGCAGTCTTGTCTGTGGGCTAGCTAGTAGCTATATAAGTTATAACACGTAAGCTAGCCCCAGCCTCATACGACATACTTGACACTTCACAGTCCACACATGATAAATTCATTTACATTTTACTTATATAACATACACATTAACAAGTCTTAAAATTTTCATTGTAATGGGATAGATAGCGATAAACCCAAACTGCTAAAACTAACTTTTCGTTTTGGTGTCAAACTGGAGACGCCATAAGCACTGTGACATTTATAATATATTACACTCAGTCTGCCAGATACAACACAAAATTTACATTAATTATATTTACTAACAATAAAATTTCACACACAACTTTGGTAGGACAAAATAGAAAGATGTTTTTAAAATAAAACCTATACTTCCATTTAGATAGTTTAATAAAAAGATTTTATAAGTAATAAGTAGTTTTACTCTTTTATACAACTTTTTTCCGATGAATCTTCAATTTGGATTTTCTTACCCACATCTTTACAATCCTTTTCTCCCTGCTCCAAGAATTTATCCCACTTGTCTATCCTTTTACTTATATCTGCATCTGTCTCGGCAATTTTGTATTTAGTTCTGCCATCCCATATCTCAGCAGTTATTTGCCGTTTGCCAAACCATCTGCCATTAATAAGTTGTATAACAGCATCTGCATGTTCGGGTTCCTTCATAGTTATCTGGGCAACCCCCTCAGGATGTCGATCATAGATTACAACCTTTCTGACATCACCACATTTACCACACTCTTCTCGCAAGTCTTGTTGATAGTCAAGTATCAACTGAACTTCATTATCGAAGTCAGAGGGATGAAAAAGATTTTTAACAATCACAACTCTTTCATGCTTAGAGCGTTCTCCAACAATTTTTTCTGGCCTCCAATCAAACAATTTTTGTTGCATTTTCTTAATTTTCTCAAGTTCTTTTTTCCTTTTCTTTTTAGGTTTCAATGCTGGGTTATATTCACCTTTCAATTGAAAATGAGCTTTCTCAACCTTTATTTTGTTACCTTTAAAATCACAGCCATCAAGTAAGCTCAAAGCTAAATTAACAGATTCAATTTTTATGTATGTGCAAAGAGCATCTCCTTTAAAGCAGCTTTGTTCTTTGTCCATATAGAGCTTAATTTTCATTTTCTGTGTGCCGGGATCTCGTTCAACAAGACCACATTTTTGCATTAGGTCAACAAATTCATCTTCTGTAGTATCTAATGGTAAATTGGAGACGTAGACTTTTGTGTTATTTTGATCGGATGGTTCAAACCACTGTGGTTCATTTTTCCTTTTTAAGTTAGCCTCCTGTTTCTTTTCAGTTTTAGGTTTTTCTTCAAGAACATCTTTAGGTTTAACATTGTCTACAAAACCGTATGACATTTGATATAAAGCAAGAAAGTCATCATCAACTTTAGGTATCCATGCTTTCTTTACGGCATCCCAGAAGAATTTTGATCCATCAGAATCTGTGTAAACATGGGTATCATCTTCATAGCTATACTCTCTACCAGGCACCTCATTTTCTGCTTGGGGATCCCATATATTACTTGATTTATTCCATTTGTATTTTTTGTGTGTATTGGGATCAGTATAAAACGCTTCTTCGTCTTCATATGTAATGTAAGGGGCATACTCACCCCAAGACTCAAAACTTTTTAGATTATCATTTGTTAAGGTTATGTCTTGATTGTTCTTTGCATTTGGTTCCAAAATGATACTTTGTTTAACCTCTTTACTAACTAATGGCAATCTATGATTTTTTGTAATATCTTTATGATCATCACCAATCTGCTTTTGAACATCAAAATTTGACGTTGAGCTTTTTTCGTTGTCATTTACACTTTGTTCGTCTTCAGATAACTTTTGAACAGTTTCACAAGAGAGTTTGATAATAATACCCGGTTTCAGTCCTTTCTCAGCTTTGGACATATTTGGTATTAACCAATAATCATGTTGTTTTCAGCTACTAATATAATCACTTATTAATTAAACATTTAAAAATTATAATTTTTTATAACACCTAAAACCATAAATGATAGGTAAGTTTATGTTATAAATTACCCACGCATTAAATGCACAGATTTATTCATTAGCAATATATGAGGAAAAAAACCAGTGATGCCAACTCCTACAGTATGTTCCCTATACTCTATAGGACCAACTTCAAATACACCTAAATATCGATTTAAAACCGATATTTAGGTGTATTTTTTTTTCGATATAATTTCAGATATGTATTAAAATTCCTTAAAGTAGCATAAAATAGTATAAAACTTTGATCTTGGAGTATTTTAACTTTTTGATATTTCAGCTATAGTCACGCTTGGAGTTTATATTTGGTTCAGTTTGTTGTTGAGTTCTCGGCTTAATATAGAATCGTGCGTTTTTAGGAAAAAAGAAGTAAATTTCTTGTATAAAGTACCCCCTAAATAAATGTACCTCCTAAAAATCCAGCAGGACATCTCGATTCTTCCTAAATTTTGGGAGAAAATCCTAAGTCGGCATCACTAAGTTGAAACCATTCAGAGTAGTAATTGGTATAAATATTGTTGGTAATAGTTAAGCCAACCTCACCTAAAATTTTATGTGATACGCCCTCTTTATTTTACCTCCTAAACTAAAGACTCGAACGAATTAGCCCCTGACCACAGCCTCTGGTAGCTGTTCCGGGCTACCGCCACACATTTGTAACAGTGTCACCAGCCACCGGTGTTTAGAAGCATTAAACCTTCCTCCTCCAGAGAGCTTTGATCAACACGGAAAGTTGCCCGCGCTATGATGCCTGCTATGTTGGACACAGACAAACTTTAACTGGTCAGGTCAGTACTACAATATTACTCTCGAGCTAAATTCGAGTAAAACATCATGGGCTTTCGTCACACATTAGCATTGATCTATCAGTGAGGCGCGCCGTTCAGTATTCACCAACCGTTCGAGCCAAAGATGTCTGTCAACAAAGGAACGGTGGCTGTATTTAGCAAGTCCCAGTGCTTTATAAAAAATCAAAAAATTAAAAGAAAAATGTAAAAGAGGTACTGAGCTAATTATTTTTTGGATTACTTAATACTAGCTTAATTATAATTACAATTATAAAAATAATAAATAAAAAGTATAGCAATTTACATGTGTTTCATTTAGATTGTCCCTTGTAGGTAAAATCGGACTTGAATCATCTAAAAAATTTAGAAGCTTGAAATACCACAACTTTGTATTATAATTATACTTCTGCAGCGTCACTTCCACTTCGTGATTCACGTGTCTTTTTCCTTTCTTTACGATAAGAAGCACGTAGGCTGTTTATCTTCTTGACCACGGTTTCTTTATTTGCATCCTGATCAGCAGTTTTAAGCACAGCTAGTAATTTATCATAACATTCATTTCTCTTATTTTTGTGGTAGTAATCTTTGGACTTGACATTCCATAAACACTCACACTGTCTATATGTGTTAATAAAGTCTTCTATAGCGCTTTTGGAATAAACTCGCAAATCCATTTCTTTTAAAAACACGTGTTTCAATCACGATAAACAATACCAGACTGACGCTCGCCACTCGCAGTCACGTACACAAGTTCGAGTCACGTTTGACGGCTCGCTTCGAGTAGGTTCGAAGGAAATTACTTTCATTTAATTCCATCGAGCCGGCTCGGTGCGAGCCTTCGAGCTGTGAGTTTTGCGGTCCACACGTTGATTTTTACTCGACTTCGAGTAAAACTATCGAGTAATACCGTATGTGAGTACTGACCTTTACACTTTACAGTAAAGCGGAAAACTTGCATCGATATTCAAAGTTATTAAAAAAGTTTACAGACGTTTCGAAAGAGTTTGACTACTTTTCCAATCCTCTCGAAAGGCAGTGAAATTCGTTTGCCTCCTGTAAAAAAAAACTTTACAGTAAAGCGGAAAACTTGCATTTCGATATTCAAAGTTATTAAAAAAAGTTTACTAGACATATTCGAAAGAGTTTGACTACTTTTCCAAATCCTCTGCAGAAAGGCAATAAGTGAAATAAAAAATCGTTTGCATCCTGTTAAAAAAAACGGGATTTGATTCAGCAGGTTGTAATAAAAGTGAAGTAAAAAACCTACGCACCGGAAATATAGAAGCAGATATCCATCCAATCAAAAAGGTCGAAAGCATCGTCCTAGTAGTTATCATATTATGTTTATATGTTCTGTATAAGAATCATAATTCATATTTCATAGAGTATATAGGACAATAATTAGGGATTTAGTCAGTGTTGCCAACTTGGGGGTTTTCCCCAAAATTTAGGGGTAATCAAGATGTCCAGGGTTTTTTAGTGGGATTTAGGGGGATTTTTAGGGGGTACTTTATTCAAGAATTTTTTTCTCTACAAACACACGATTCTATAAAATTTGTATTAAGCTTCGAACGAAAAGCTAAATAAACGCTTTCCTGTGTCAAATTTTGTTCCTTCTAACCGTATGATCAGATCATTTAACGTCAATATATACGATTTCAAAAGGATCAGCAACAGCAAAACGCAGCGCGATATCCAAGCCGATGCCTTCGACGAAATATTAGAAGCTTATCCCAATGACATTTGATAATATTGTATTAGAAGGAAAAAAGCACAACTTTAGGGGTTTTTGATCGACATTTAGGGGTATTTGACGTTGGTTCTAGGGGGAACATTTTGTAGGAGTTGGCAACCCTGGATTTTGGGGTAAAGAAGAAAAGTATTTTTGAATTTTGATATCGGACCGCAATAAAAAATTTATAATATTGTCAATTTCTGTATTATGGAAGACTTAAAGGACGTATATCTAACTCCCTTACCAGAGTCTCAATATGTTAAGCCATTTCGGTTACATTATACTCAAAATGGAAAGCAAAAGAATTGGGACTTGCTTGAAGTACATGATAGTGTAGCTGTTATTGTATTTAATGTTACAAGAAAGGTTATGATTTTTGTTAAACAATTTCGGCCTGGTGAGTTAACTTATAACTCAGTTATATACAACACTTGTTGAAAGATATTGCTTGTTGTACATTATTTTTTACGAATATGCTTTCAAAATTTTATCTTTACAATTATTGTTAGTATCCAAATTCAATAGTTTTTTTCACGATTAGTTGTGCAGTTTGGGCAATATTACCGTTTCATATTAACTCTAATATTAAAATCCTCATTTCAGCAATTTATTATAACAATGTACATCCAAAAGACAGACAATCTGATCAAATAGATACTAATAAATATCCAGCTTCTTTGGGAATAGCACTAGAGATGTGTGCTGGTATCATTGATAAGAATAAAAGTGTAGAAGAGATAGCACAAGAAGAAGTTCTTGAAGAATGTGGCTATAATGTTCCTCTGAAGAAATTGCAAAGAATCACTTCATATAGGTATGGTTTCTAAGAGGACAAATATTACCTAATTTTTATTACTTTTGTAAGTGAAAAAAATATATTATGAAATTCACATGTATATACACAATTATGCAGGTCAGGAGTTGGTGTCCAGGGTGCCTTACAAACATTCTTTTATTGTGAAGTTACTGATGAAATGAAAACAGAACAAGGTAAGTAGTAGAGAGTACATAGTCGGTCCGAAAAGTTCTGTCATGAATACAAATAATGATAAAAACAAAAGTACTGATCAGTTTTTAATCAGTGATATATCAATTTATAGTACATTAATTAAGGAATAGAAATAGCAAATTTTTTGAAATGACCTCCCTTATTTTTAATACAGGCCCTTAAGCGCCCCGGCCAGTTTCATCACAGCACGCACCATATTCATGTCGATTTCAGTGACTTCTTTTTTTAAAGATAACTTTAGACTCTCCATATTTTTATGGGGCTTATCACATACCTTCCTTTCTAAGACCTGCTAAAAATAATGTGCCAGTGACAGAACTTTGGGACCAACTACGTAAAATATATATATTATGTATTAGTTTCTGTTGGGGACCATTACCGTTAAGCACTTAAAATGTAGAGATGAGTAGTGCAATGTGTTGTTATATATCTCTCAAAGAAGTTTTAGTTTAATGTGTACTATTGTGGATAAGGAAAATTTGTTTAAACCAGTTTTCAATTTACTTTATTCCTCTTCCCCTTTGTTGGTGGTATAGGTTATGTTTTTAAGAACTAAAGCATTCAAGCAAAGCTGGAAAGACAAATTGTGTTTTTCATCGGTGAAGCCACCTTATGTTTTAAATACTAATTTCAGGAGGTGGTGTTGATGATGAAATCATAGAAGTTGTGGAAAAAACAATACCAGAAATAGAGGCTTTAGTGACTTCACCAGGCCCCATTAGCAGTCCTCCAAGTTGTCTATTTGCTTTGATGTGGTTCTTACATTACAAAGCTGATCAGTTTAGGAAGTAATTCTATATCTGTGATTATTACCTTATCAGTAGATAAAAAATTTAAGTTATGGCTATTGGATATATAAGGTTGATTTATGTATTACATTCAAATTAAGTTATAGTATTAAATATAACATCAATATATATTATATTCATAGAATCAAATATTAATTTAAAATATTGTCGGTAAATATAACTATGGGTCATTCTCATCAAGTGTTTTTCAACACCATGTAGACTGTAGAAGGTGTACAAATCTTGTAGAATAGCAATAAGTAATTCAGTGTCAAGTGGAAGAGTGGAGTGGATGGTGCTTTCATTTCATGCCATTGAAAAGCCATTGTGACAATGGATTCTTGGCTTTAATAAATTCCACCTAGTGTCAGACTCAGACTAGACAACTAACAATAGTAAAGGTTCTATTATAGACTTGGTTGCAATAAATAATACTCCAGTGGCACTAAAACCCTATATGCATTGTGGCTTTAGTTTCTTGAATAATTTTCTTCTAAACACAAATAAGTGCGTTAGTCTTGTGTCATGAAGGTTTTCTCATGATATTATGAGCAGTGATGGCCTAATGGCTTTAGCGTGCGACTCTCGTGCCTGAGGTCGTAGGTTCGATCCCCGGCTGTGCACCAATGGACTTTCTTTCTATGTGCGCATTTAACATTGCTCGAACGGTGAAGGAAAACATCGTGAGGAAACCGACGTGTCTTAGACACAAAAAGTCGACGACTTTTTGTGTCGTGTGTCAGGCACTGGAGACTGATCACCTACTTGCCTATTAGATTTAAAAATGATCATGAAACAGATTCAGAAATCTGAGGCCAAGACCTAAAGAGGTTGTTGCGCCACTGATTTATTTATTTATTTTTTCTCATGATAGTTGCCTTTATCCTTCAAGCAATTTCCATTGGTGCCGAGCCCTGATATGAATGCAATATAGTTGTTAACATGGTACAAACCCGCAAACAATGTCTGTTGATATGGTTGTGCATATAACATCATATCATAAAAGAAGATACATAGATTTTATGAAATTAAAGCTCAACAAAGGATCAATGGTAGGGCAAACAAAGCATACCGACTTATTTATTATGAAGTAAAATAATTGAGGAAACATCTGTGGTATTAGGACTTCAGTCAAAATATAATTATATCTCTGTAAGCGTGACATATACGAATTGTTGTCTTGTAAGCCATTTTGATAATAATCTATTTGTATTAATGAGTTCCAGTTAAATAATCACCTTATTTTACCAGGAGCTATGGCCTGTATTGTTCAGATTGCAAAAAAGTATAAGGAAATTCCAAGATTTATTAGAAGATTTTATTTTAGAATTTATGAATAAATAAATGTTGCACATAACTAGCAGTAGATATTTATTATTAACGTAATACACGTTTATCCACAAATAAACCGGTATTTTTACTGGTTATGTTAAGCACATGTGGGTCTACCACGTCCACTACCATTAATACAAAAGAGTATACTACTTTAGCATAATTCGAAAATTGGTGATAAGCTTAACATAGTGAACACTAAGTTTATCTGTAATCTTCAATTTTTTTAATGGTCCAAAAGTTAATTAATTATTTAATTTCTTAAAGTCAGACTTTTTCATGTCAGGCAATACTAATCCTCAAAGTATGTATAAAAGCAAATATAAAGTTGCTAGCATCTGCTTGTAATAAAACACAATATTTTCTTACTTTAATTTATTTAAGTATTATCTCAAAGACTATTTGTTTAAAAAAGATTTAAAATTGAAATATAACTTAATCGAATTATTACTATTGCAACATCATAAAAATAAGAAAGGAACTTAAAATATATATTACTTATTAATCAAACACTAATGTATTCGTGTTAAATCTTCCACAATTTTTATAAGGTCATCCACTTTCGCCTCACGCATAACGCCGCCGTCGTCGATCTGTAAAAGATTAATGTAATCTAACTAGACAACAAAGTCAGTTTTACAAATTCACATACAGATCTAAGCTAAATGAAAAAAAAAACTATTACAAATAATGCATAATAGTTTTTTTTTTAATTAGCCTAGATCAGTTGCATTTTATGGTAGGTAATTGTTTTGCAAGCGTTTGTTATGGAGTGGTTGTATGAAAAATAAATCTGATTAACAATAATGTTGATCTGTTTCATATGTGATGTCAATATATGTTTAAACTTCATGGTTTCAGATTAGAACTATGAGGTATGCCTTTTAAGTTCTGTCGTTTCTATATTTCCCGGCAATTTTGAATTTGGACCTGTACTATATTCAAATGTGTTTACATTTTGAATCTCAAAACAGTTAATAGTATTAGGATTAACCAAATTAGGTACCACTTAGATAAACGTATTGAATAGTTTTTGTTTGTTTGTTTCCTTTTATAAATTCTTGAACCATTTTGTATTAAATTTTATTTTATTCCATATTTGGCTATATTTTTAATGTAACTGTTTGTTATTGTATATAATTTATGTTAGCTGTAGGTTTACATAAATAAATAAGTAATTAATGCTATTGTTTAGTCACAGCGTCGATTTGAATCTGTCAAGTTACGTACGAAAATGAATCTTTCTAAGAAAAATGTTCGTGCAATAATTTTCTACAACTTTAGAAGAGGCCTGACACGGCTTCAGTGTTTTGAAGAGCTAATATCTGTGTTCAGTGATGAAGCCCCATGTCTGCGGACTGTCGAACGCTGGTATTTAGAATTTCAGCGTGGACATACTAGTGTTAGTGACAAATCTCGCGAAGGACGCCCAAAATCCGCCTTCACTGAAGAAAACATTGCTGTGAGACAATTAATTCTCGAAGATCGTCATGTGACGTATCGAGAGATAGAGGCTCTATTAGGCATCTCAGGGACAACCATTCAGAAGATCTTGCATGAAGCGCTTGGTGTGAGAAAGCTAGTTTGCCGTTGGATACCGCATCTGCTTTCCGACGATCACAAGGCGGCCCGCTTCAGATGGTGTAAGAAAACTCTGCAAAGGTTCAACCGAAGAGAGTCAAATCTACGACATCATCAGTGATGACGAATCTTGGATCTATGCCTACGATCCTGATTCCATACAACAATCTACAATCTGGGTCTTTCAAGACGAGCCAAAGCTGACTAAACTCGTTCGTTCTCGAAGCACTTCAAAGATGATGGTGGCCACGTTCGTTGAAAAAACCGGCCATGTTGCGACTATTGCACTTGAAGATCGTAGAATGGTTAACGCAGAGTGGTATACCACAGTTTGTTTGCCACAAGTCATCGCCAAACTTCGAAAATCTAACTTAAAGGGACGCATCACCTTGCACCACGACAACGCAAGCTCACACAGCGCTCGTCAAACAATTCAGTATTTGAAGCAGGAAAAAGTAGAAATTCTTGACCTTCCTCCATACAGTCCTGACCTAAGCCCTAACGATTTCTTTACATTTCCAAAAATTAAGAAAAGTCTTCGTGGTCAAAGGTTCCAGTCCGGTGAAGAAGCAGTCGACGCTTTCAAGTCAGCCATTTTGAACACCTCCACTTTAGTGTAATTAATGTTATCATAACTGGTTTGAGCGAATGGAGTGGAATTAATGTTATAATAGCTTTAAGTGTATTAAGCTACGTAGTGAATACTTTGAAAAACAATAAAAAGTACTATAAGGTTCTAGTTGTGTTTTTTTCTGCAAACGACAAAACTTAAAAGGCATGCCTCGTAATAATAATACATCCTCTAGACTGTGCCGCAGTATAAAGCGCGACTACCCCATTAAAATACTGTAAAATTTCTTAATAGTTATTCTTAAAATAATTATACACTGACGTTTATATATGTCAAAATTAATTAAATCGACGACAGTAAACAACGCGTCGATGACCTCGATTTAACCAAATCAGGGTCAATGACATTATATACTTACTTGTAATCCCTGAATGGTCTCCTGTTGCATATCCCTAGAGAGATCTAAGAAGCTCTCTATGAGATCTCCATCGACAAATCCTTCCGCGGGCTCAGTCTTTATATCCGTGTTGAACGATCGCCAAAACGCGTGAGGAATCTTGCCCACTGATTTGATCGTGTGCGTAAGCTTCTCTTCTAGTTGGTGCAAGAATTCATACAGCTCTTGGGATAGTTGGACGACTAGACCTGGAGATTTAATTATATGTATTTGATTAGTTCATACTACTACTACTACTACTGAATCTACTAAAATAGTCATTCACAATCTAACTTTTTTTTTTATGATTGGACAATTCACACCAATTGACCTAGTACCATGCTAAGCTGGTGAAGCTTGTGTTATGGGTACTAGGCAACGGATATACATACATATTATAGATAGACATATAAATACATATTTAAACACTCAAGACCTAAGCACAACACCAAATGCTCATCACATCGATGTTTGTCTCAGCCGGGGATCGAACCCGGGACCCATGGATTCGCAGTCAGGGGTACTAACCACTAGACCAATGAGCCGTCAACGCGTCAACTTACGCGCAAAATGTTGTATTTAACAATAATAAATAAAGCACGTTCAGCTGTTTACACAAATTAATTATAGCGCCATCTATTTAGTTTGAAAGCAAACAGTCTTACAAATGGCGCCGTTGACAGTGGCGATGGTGGCCGGGTTATGTACAGGTGCGGCGGTGTCAGCGTGTTGACCAACCAAAGAGCCCAGTCGCATTACATTGACCATCTCTCCCAGATGGAACTGCCCCATGTAGCTCATCTGCTGACGCTCTTCATCCGTCGTTGCCGCGCTAAAGGACAAAAGAGAAATAAACATAAGTAGCGCAGCAAATGTAGAATTAACCTGACTTTTCCATAAATTTAATATTTCATTTAAGATAGAAAATATATTGAAATATTTTCCTGTGTTTGAATGCACAAAAATGTTGAGTTTTTATAAAGGTAAGTTTTCTTCTACTTACCTATCTTTTTGACACACAAATAAATTTGAACTATTTTCTGCTCCCAAAAATGTGTCATCATCTAAAATTTCAATGGCGGTCATCCAATTCGGACTGTAATCGCGTGCTATTTCTTCGAAACTGCCTTCCATCTAAAAACATTATGCCTTAAGTATATAAAGCCAAAGATTATAAAGTTTTGATATCTTTATAAGAAAGAATAACATAAAAACATTTTAAATAAATATTTGAATGAGTTAATACCATTTGAGACATTTAGATTAATATTTATAATACCTGTTTATATTGTAGGAGTGACATAGACCGCATAAGATCACCTACAAGTATGAAGTCACCTTTTACTTTAAGATAAAGCGCCACAATATTGTTAAAGTGGCTACACTCCAATCGTAATTCTTTTTCCGATGTCCATTCGAATAACCTGACCTGATAACAAAAAGCAATTAACATTTATTTATTTTCCTTATTTCCTATTTTTACAGTAACTTAATACTAATACAATAGAAAACTAAAGTAAAACATAATATAAACATAACAAATAAAAACTTAAAACATTAAATATAAAAATAGTAATCTAGTATATTTTCTTTATACATAACGACATGCATGTACAGTTATTTGTAATCAAACTGATCCCCAAATAATGTCACATTTATTCTTACAAAATAAATTGGTGATCAGACAAAAACAGCAACTATATGAATCCTTATAATATTGTATAGACAAGTATGGGATTGAAATTGAGGCTTTTAGCTTTTAACAAAAGGGCTAGTTTGTAAATAATTTTGAAATTTACTGAATAAAAAGTAAAATTCAAAATCGCCCAAAAAGTTTATCAATTCGACGTGTACTTTTGTTGTTTCTGCATAACTTCGATATTTATTACAGTTCCGATTAAACTACTTACAGTACTATTAATTGAAGCTAATAATTTCCCATTGAACTGCACGAGTGTATAACAGGCTCCCTTTATTTCTTTTTCCGCAACTTGCGTCAATTTGCCATCAGACCATTGGAACAATATTATCCTGCCCTATAACACGTAATAAATGTATGTATTACATTAATATTTACTCTATTTTTATATAACTGAGGAGGTTTTAAGAAATAATTTTTTTGGAGTAATTTTTTTGGCGCGAACTATGATCCCGCATGTCAAAAGTGTGGATTTTGACATACAGGAGTGCACAGTGCTATGTCAACCCTGAATCATAGGATTAGAATTGCTGGGCCTTACAAAGGTTACCTGTTTCGGTTCAGATTCCTCCGGGTTGAGCATAGCAGTACCTACGGCGTAATAGTGTGTGGGGTCATCTCCCAACTTGCAAGACAGCAGTGAAAGGGCAAACTCACTCGCCATTAGTTGGT